CGGCGATTTGACTGCTCTACCACGTGGTAAAAAGGAGTATAACCAGTCCATTGAATATGAGACAGACGAGTTTGGCAACAAGATCCCCGTTCCCTATGACAATTACGACGGCAACCCTCGTGATGTTGACCAGGGCGAGTACCCAGACGACGGATACGAAGATGCCTACTACAATACACAGGATGTCCCTCCTCCTCTGAAATACGTCCCATATCAGGCTGGCGCGCGTGGCCTAAGCCCAATCCCCAGCGTGTCTGGGTTCACAGAGGTTGATGGGGAGACGCCGACCAGGACCTCCAGAGGCGAAAACTATTCGTCCATCAAGTCTCGTGGCTCGTTGCAGTCGCTTGAGTCTGTCCCGAGTAACTTGAGGAGCAGAGAATTTGATCTTGCGTCGTCGGCAGCCGGTGGGAATACTATTTACTCGGAAGATTCCCAGGTTGGACAGACGGCTGCAGGAAAGGCTGTCCGCGGCATTGCTGCCAACCCCAACATCATTCACCCTGTCATTGCGGCCGAGTCTGCCGTCGCCTCGTTGATTGGTGAGTCGATGCTTGATCAATCTGTCTTGACAGGCGTATATAGCGGCGCTGGAGATTCCAATCTCTCATACGATGAGCGATCCAAGCTCCAGAGCAGCCGTGGTGCGAGCCCAGACAAGTATTCTGGCATGAATCGCCAGGAGTACGACGATGAGCGACAGGCAACTCCTGGTCAGTCTCATGGCTACATGGAGTATGAGCTTGATGAGAATGGACGCAAGGTACCTCGCACCAAGTATCGCCAATCCCCTACCTCATCTGAAGCCGCCATCACCGCGGGTGCCGTTGGTGCCGCTGCCGCCGCTCTCAAGGCGGCCCAGGAGAGAAAACAAGCTACCGTTGAGGATGCTTCCGAGGGCGACTTTGAGCCGGCCGGAGTGTTCCGCAACAAGTCGTTCAAGGAGCGCGCGATGGAGGGCTGGAAGCCGCGAAACACCCCCACCCATAGCCTGGACAGGCTTGACTATGAAGCCGCTCCCCCGATGGAAGCTAGCAGTGTTCCTGACCCAGATCATCCTATCCCTGAGGTTGGCTACATTGATGATGATCTACAGACCAACCCGTCCATCCTGCAGGATGAGATTGCTCCTGGTCAGTGGTCTGGCAAGGCTACTCCTACGGAATATGGACAGGTTATCCCCAAATCCCAGTCTGACGAGGATATGCGAGATGCTCACCTTGACGATGCTGCCCGCCTTAGTAGGGAGCCAAGCCAGGAGGACGAGTGGCGGAGAACATCAGCTGAGCGGAAGCGCGATACTCTGCTTACGAACCCGTACGAGGATGCCAGCCCGATTGTGAACCCGGCGCTCAACGACAACCTCCTTGGCTCTCGTGGTCTCGGTTTTAGCACTGGCAGCCCCGGTTTCAAGTATGACGAGGGGTACATGTCCAACGGCCCCAACCGAACGCCCGATGTCGAACCCAAGGGCAAGGCAATCCAAATGGCTGGCCCATCAAACTACATGGCTGGTGGAGACCCCTTCTACGGATCTCAGGATAACAACCGCGCTCTCAGTGGCATGTCTCAAGGCATGGCCTCGCCATTCTATGATGCCTCCACAGGCGGCGGCATCGAGCGTATTGAAAACAAGGACATTGTTGCCTTGATGCAACACGTAAGTTGACATAAAAACAACCTAGACACTTTATGACTTGTTCATTGCTAACTGCTCCCCCCTGCAGCTCATGGTCCGTGACGCACAGCGAAGTGCCCGCGATACGGAAATCGTCGCGCTGCTCATGAACGCGGCGATTGAGATGCGCAACTCGTTCCGCGATCTGAAGGAGCTGGTTCAGGACACTGGAGACGATGTCATCTTTGCTAATTCCGAAAACACTGACAAGCTTCAGAAGGCCATCAACGGGCCTCGACCTTACCCCGGCTCCCGTTCCGTGCAGAGCGGCTCCATCGGTGGCACCACTATGGACGACGTCACTGTCAAGAAGAAGGCTCTTTGGAAACGGGCCCTCCAAGGCCTTAGCGCCAAGGGCACCAACGATCTCACTCGCATCGAGGACATGCTGATGCAGCTCCTCGGAGAGGTAGATGTCCTCAAAACACAGACGGCGCCGCCTCTCTCCGCCAGGGTCTCTACCAGCGGAGCGGGACAGTCGTTTGACAATCTCCAGCCAGAGGGACAGTATGAGCACGACAAGGGCTATGAGCCCGAAGGCAACTCAACTACAAGCCATGGCAGCCAATCGCAGGGGCAGCGCAAGTTTTCAGATCATCGCATCGACACAGTACCCGAACACGAGGATGAGTACGAGTATGATCACCCTACCCCGACCGCAGAGCGAACTCAAATCATCCCTGCGATGAGCCCCATGGACCGTGAGGTGCATCGTGCCGGATCGCTCCCAACAGATGGTGCGCCGCCGGCCTCCGACCAGGGCTATGACCAGCCGCACAGCGCTGATAACACGCCTCGTAGCGACAAGGGAAGGAAAGGCAAGTCGGGAAGCAAAAGCTGGTTCCCTAAGATCTCCCGCTGGTCTGGAACGACGGCATCTACCGTGAGCAAGGCGCTGCGCGGAAACCCCAAGAAGGATGGCGAGGACGATGTGCTGCAGTCCCGATCAGGGTCCAGCATGGCTTCTCGCGATGATCTCTATCCCCTCGACACGTATGGCGACGACAGACTCCACTCGGGATATCTAGAGGGAGGACGCCTTGCTCCGCCGCACGAGATTCACGAATCGTCAGCACCCATTGTGCCGACGTTTGCTACGCCAGAGGATCCCAAATACAAGGCTCACCGCAACTCGCTCAACTTGATGCACCCTCAGCCCAGAACAGGACAGACGGAGCGCTTCCGAACCGCCCTGGAGCACTCTGCTCAAGACTTTGATGCCCCAGCGACACCCCGGTCCGCTGATTGGGCAGGCTCCATGAACAGCCTTAACCGCCTCAATGGCACCGCTGCTGGGCGCTACGGCAACGAGGGCGGAGATTACTGGCCTGCTGCTCCTCCTCAGCAGCAAAACACTGGTCCGGCTCGGCCACCCAAGGAGCCCATCAACTCGTCTCAGCAGACGCCGCCCAGATCTACACGAGTTTCAAACCTGCAAAAGGGCAGCCCCATGGGCCCTCAGAGCTACGAAAGCGGCTACGCAAGCGGCACGGGCACACACTCCAGCCAATACAACAGCATGAGCCCCAAGCCGGAGAACAAGAACTTGAACGCTGCCCTTGGCGTGCCATCACGCAGGCCTAGTGGTCCTAGAGCGATGACACCCAAGAATGCAGATGATGACGCAGCCAGAGAGGACAGGCGGAGAAAGAGAGGTACGTTGTGATGAAGCCGTGGTTCCCATTTCCTTTTCAGCTTACTGACTTGTTCTACTTGTAGACACATTCGGCAGCATGACAAGCCAGAACACCCAAGAAACGGATACCTTTTAGGTGAAATCGTGCCGTTGCTTTGGACCTCGACCCGTTGCTACCCAATTCGATGATACAAACGAAAGAAAAGGGGGATGAGCATTGATTTTTTTTTTTCTCTTTTCTCTTTTTTCCCCTTTTGCACTTGGCTCTCTGTATGTGCCACACCACACAATACCCATAAAAATGATCATTTCCGTTTTACACGAAAAGGACAAGAAACAAATAGAAAATGACTCGAAAAAAAAGCAAAAGGGGGGAAAGGGTGTGGACGAAGGGGAGGGTTTACCTTGCCTAGCCTAAAGACAACTCACCGCACGCTACTGCGAGTGGGAAAGCAAGGAGAGGTTGGAGAGGGCTAGACATGCAAGGCAACTTGGGGGGAATACTACATAATGCTATGGAATCGCTTCGGTGATGGGAAGGATATATGGGACACGAAGGACGCAATGGATTTCGAGGGTTTTTGTTTGCTTTGCGAGAGACTATATCTGCGATGAGCTGTGTTTTGGCCAGCTCCGTTTGTTGTTTGCTTTATTTCCCCCCCAAGCCACCCCACGAGTTTTTGTATTTTTGGTTCTTCATTCTTGACGACGACATGACATGAACATTTGATTCTAGAGCGAAGCGAGGGGCATTATTCTGCGCTGGTCTTGATCTGGACGATGCAATAGCTGGCATTTGAAGATGCAGACGATTGAGATGGAGGAAGCTTTTCTCGGCCTTTTGTTCTGTGTGATGGCGAGTTTAGCTGGGCGTAGTTTTAGTGCGTTTGTTTGGTGATGTGAATGAAGCACAATTGGCATGGAGGGATTTCTATGCTTGACTTATTGCTGATGTGTGTGAATGTGTGAATGAGTTTACTGGTGCTGGACATGAAAGTACGACACGTTGTGAGACTGTCAGCATGTTGTCTCAGTTCTGGCGTTATGCAAGGAGTAGATGATGCTCTTTGCTTTTCCTTTTTTCCCCTCCAATTCTTATCAATTCTCTTCTTCTCCTTTTTTCCTATTCAAAATAGAGGCTAATTAATGCGCCTTGTTGACCGTTCTTTTGCGTTGTCTTACTGTCTCCCGTTTCACGCCCGCCTTACGTGAAACCTTCAGTGGAGACTGACTGTATCGTCGGGATCGTGTATGACAGGCTGGCTTACCAGAGATGTTCTCCACCCTCTCCCCACGGGATGATTCACTCTAGTTTGATTCGTTTGTCTTATCTTTTGACTGCGGAAGCCGTTCCGGACTTTTACTCCTTTTTTTTTTATAAATATATTCTATTGTGAGATTCTCTATTTCCTTTTGGACAAAGGGAACGTTAAGGATCCATGTATTTGTATTTGTCGTTGGGATTAGCTCGGCACTTGAACATAAGAGCCGAACTTGTCGCCTTAATAATACCTGCGAGATCCGGACTCATCTCATCTGCACTCCCACCCCCAAAACCCTCCACTATCTACTCAACGACAACTTTCTCTACCCATTTCTCCTCTTCCTTTTTTTTTTTTCACTCGCTTTGTTTTCATTGAGTTTGTCAAGGTATTTTTCCATTTAGCCTAGATTGGAGGCTGGCAAATGGAAGAAGCCGTAGCTTCTTCGCCGCCCGTCGCGGTGCAGCAGAATCAGAAGCCTGCGACATCGGCCAAGCGCGACTACAAGGGCTTCGTCGCGGGCGTGTTTAGCGGTATAGCAAAGCTGACTGGTGCGATTTGAGAAATTCACTTGCCTCTATTATGAATGTTATGATTATACTAACTTGAGATGTAATCAAAAAGTCGGCCACCCCTTCGACACAGTCAAGGTCCGCCTGCAAACGACGCAGGCCTCGCGCTTCAGCGGCCCGCTGCAGTGCGTCCTGCAGACGGTGCGCAATGAGGGCGTCACGGGCCTGTACAAGGGCGCGACGCCGCCGCTGGTCGGGTGGATGTTTATGGACTCGGTCATGCTGGGCTCGCTCAACGTCTACAGGCGGCTGATGGCGCAGCACGTCTTTGGCGCGGACGCGTGGGCGCCCGGGGCGGGATCGGGGGCGACGGGGCTTGGGTTTGGGAGTCTGATGAGGCTGTTGTCTTCCTCATCTTCTTCAAGGACATCATCGTCTTCATCGTCAGAACCTTCATACCTTCCACCGCTGGGTCACGGTATCGCAGGTATCATGGCCGGCGCCACCGTCAGCTTCATCGCTGCCCCCGTCGAGCATGTGAAAGCCCGGCTGCAGATCCAGTACGCTGCCCGCAAGGCTGAGCGTCTGTACTTGGGGCCTCTCGACTGCATCCGCAAGATCTACTCCCACCACGGCATCCGCGGCATCTACCACGGCCTGTCTGCCACGCTGCTCTTCCGCGGCTTCTTCTTCTTCTGGTGGGGCAGCTACGACATGCTCTCGCGGGCTTTCCGCGAGAACACCAACCTGAGCAACCCGGCCATCAATTTCTGGGCCGGCGGGCTGAGCGCTCAGGTGTTTTGGTTGACGAGTTACCCGAGCGATCTCGTGAAGCAGCGCGTCATGACGGATCCCCTTGGCGGAGGTTTGGGAGACGGCGAGAGACGGTTTCCTAAATGGAGGAATGCTGCCGTGGCTGTTTATAGAGAGTCTGGGTGGAGGGGATACTGGAGAGGATTCTTGCCGTGCTTCTTGAGGGCTTTCCCGGCGAATGCAATGGCGTTGGTGGCCTTTGAGGGTGTCATGAGGACGTTGCCGTGAAAGGGGGGGTGGTGTTTTTTCCTTTACTTTCTCTTCTTCATGTTATTGATGATACCTCGCTGCTGCATGAAACAAGCAGATGATGGAAGCATATATATATATACATGCATTATGTAGACATGGCAATCTGATAGCGCATCATAAATTGGCTACGTCGAGTATAAATTGCTTAAGCACCTCGTAACTAATAACAGACTACGTTGGCATTCACATGATCATAGTATTCAAGGGATAGGAGAGAAATCTTAACGTAGATAGGTCCACTCAAAATGGTCGCTTCTTTCTTGATTGACTAGACTAGAGCAACCCAAAACCAGGTTTCTCTTTTTCAGAGAATCCCCAACACGCTGACGACGACCCTTTTACAAGAGCCGCACGTGGTTATATATCCTTCATCACAAAGGGGGTCCAGGTCGCTGCCAAGTTGCTATTCTCCCACAACCATTCTTCATTTCCCATATGGCTTTTCCCCTTTTTTTTTCATTCCAAAGAAGGCGGAATTTACTCGTCATCCTCATCGGCGTCATCGTTGACGACGTTGAAGAACTTGAGCTCGTAGACACCACGGGAGGTGGACACGACACGGAGCCAGTCACGGAGCTGCTGCTTCTTGAGGAACTTCTTGGTCCTGTTCATTAAAATGTTTAGTATAACCGCATGGTTGACACAATAAAGGGGGGGTGAAGAGAAAAAGTCGTACAGGTACTTGAGGTAGCGGCCAGAGAGCTCGTTGTGGGCAACGACCTCGATCTTGCCATCGCCGGACTGCGAGATGACGACGTTATCGCCCAGGTTGTTGGTGCGGCCCTCGACCTTGATGTGGTCCTGGAGGAACTTCTCAAAGGCAGAGACGTCGAAGATCTTGTCGCTCGCAGGCTGCGAAGCGTTGATGATGAACTATCCAAGTCCAGCGTTAGCAAAAACCCTCCCCCCAATTCCCCTCTTGAACTTCTGGGGAACGCTGTGCTTTGTTAACTCACCTTCTTGGTCTGCTTCTGGGCCTTGCCCGCCTTCTTCTATATCATGACATTTACACATCAGCCTACTGCTTTTTTTTGTCGGTTTCTCGGTCGGCAGCGCAACCGCCCTCCCCTCTCTCTCTTCTTCTTCACCAAGACAGAGGAAGAGAAGAGGGCAATTGTCTGCCTACAGCAAAGCGAATTCGAAATGTCATTTTTTTTTTCACGCGGTACATACTGTAGTAGGAGCCATTGTTGATAATTGGTGGTGTTTGAGTGGACGTGAAGAACGCAAAGAGGTCAAATCCTGCGCCTTTTGGATATTTGTTCGGGGGTGTGTGGAGTGATAAAATCCAATCTTTTTTTTCCTCGTGAATATTTTTAGCCCATTTTCGGTGGGCTGTTGCGAAAATGCGCTGCCGAATTAGGGCTGGGGCGGATCAACTAGCGCCGAGGCTCCGGATCAAAGCAACTTTGCTCTGGCAAGCGATGGTTCATGCTTGGAGCTCCAAAGTCATGTGACTCCCTCGACGTCCAACAGCCTCGAAGCCTCAGCCTCCCCTAAGAACATGTCTTCATCGCCTTGCTGTATCATATAAGTCAAAGATACGTAGTTGACGCACAAATCTTGTATATATTGATATCAACGTCCCAGTGTCAAAATGCTTCATTTAACCGTAAGCGAACATAACTAGCATAAACCAGCCTAATGGCCAGGAAGTAACTATGAAGAAGAATAGATGAGCCATACACGCATGATTCATTAAGTCGTTTGAATAAAAGAGCGCTCCTTTTCCATCGCTGCCATATTTGCCATGTGTCCCAATCCTCTACCAGTCAATTAAACAGTCTCTTGAACACCCCCTTGAGTCCTCCCGACTTCTTCTCCTGCTCCCTAGCCTCCCTCATCCGTCTACGTTCATGACGGGCTCGCCGAGCAGAATCGTCGCCCTCGTCGAGCGGCGCCGATTGCCTAGGAGAGTCTCCGAAATGACCCCCGCGAGGTCGGTCATACGTGACCTCAGATAGCCGGCGATCACGGGTCCGGGGAACGTCCCGGTCGCGTGTTCTGGGCCGCATCTCCTCGGGAAGAGAAGAATCGCGAGCTGGCACGTAGATGAATTTATCGGGAGGTGGCGACTTGCGAAGCACCCCCTCGGCATTTTTCATTTCGAAAAATCTCTTCTCGGGAGACTGTGACTGCCGTGCGTAGTCAAAGCCGGAGTTGCCTGAACGTTGGCGGAACGAGCGACCACGATGGCGCTTGATCTCTTCAGGTGGCAAGTCGAAGCCTACCTCTTTACCCTTGCGCTCTGGGGGAGCGGGGATAGGGGCCGGAGGTGGTGCGGGATTTTGGATATCATCAACAGCCGGGAAGGGTTCAGGCTGAGGGTCCAGGTTCTTTTCGTAGAGCTCACGGCGCTCACGACGTTCGCGGCGCTCGCGCCGTTCATGTCGATCACGTCGATCATATTTCTCAGGTCGGCCATAGCCTTCGTCCAGTACCTCGCGGTCGATGAGCGGTTCAGGCTGTTCAAACCGCTCGGGCCGATCAAACCGCTCAGGGCGCTGAGTGCGTTCGGGACGTTCATGACGGTCACGGCGGTCAGAGCGTTCAATGCGTTCACGATGCTCACGTTGTTCGTTGTGCTCACGTCTTTCACGACGCTCATCGTAGCGCTGAGGCTGCTCATACCGCTCGTGTCCTTCGTACCCTTCGTACCCCTCGTTGACCCCCTCGGGCGCTTCTTGCTTGTCGATCCGCTCGGCCTCTCGGGCAGCACGGCGTTGAGCTCTGCGTTGCTCATGAGCCTCCTGCTCTTCTGGAGTTCTGTATCTCCGGCTGGACGACACAGGAACCTCGCCTACAACGCCGCTATGGCGCCGCCGAGGAGTTCGTGGTGGCGTGTCAAACTTGGACGACCCAGAACCAGGACGGGAACTACCACTGTCAGGAATAGAGCGGCGGTAGTTTGACCCTTGGGATTCGTATGAGCGATGTTTGCTCTCTCTGTTCTCTCTATGCTCTCTGTATTCTCTGACCTCTTCCTCACCACGATTCCTGCTGGAATGGGAAGAGTGGCGAGAGTGGCGATACTTGCGGTGTCGTTCCCGGTCACTACTCGACGAAATATGCTCCTTAGATCTATATTCCTCTGTGAAAATGTCAGCAATGGATTTACGAAGATCTTCCTCATCATCACTAATACTCCTGCGTGTAGTAGGGACGGCTAGAGACTGAAGTTCCTCCGATTCCAACTTCATCTGATGGTGGTCCAGATGAGGAAGGTCCCCGCCGTTGCGGAGGCCAGTGAGCGAAAGACGGGCGACAGGCCTAGGTGCCTCTGCGATGGTGTTAGTGACCACGGCAGCTGCGGCTGCGTCATCGGCATCTTGAAGGAGAATCTTCTGCTTATGACGCAGCAGTCGAGTCCTCAGCCTGTCAGACGTCGCCCTTTCAGGAACCACAACGGCGGGAGTCGGCACTCTGAACTCATCATCCAATAACACGGAAAGAGACAGCGGAGGCGGAGTATCTTGAACCATTTCTTCATATTCAAAGGGAGAAACCAAGGGGCCTGGGGAGGCCATGCTCGCCCACCTCGAGGAGTAGTGACCGTCGGCGTTAAGAGCAGGGTATCGTAAAGGGGCAACATAATGGCTTGTTGCGGCAGCGACTTCTAAAGGGACCGCGTTTCGATCCAATCCACGGAATGGCATCATCTCTCTCTTCATCACAGCCCCTGCCTGGAATCCATCGTCGGATTGAGCGACCACTCCACCTTTTGCAGCAAACCGAGGTCCATCGAACACTTCCCTATCGATGCTACGGCTCAATCCGGGCGTGGTGAATGCGTTTAATCGTCCGCCTTCTTCTTTCCAAAGAGTTGGGTCAGCCATGCGAACGGCGCCAAAAGCCAGGCTGTCAGTGCCTCCAGAATAGTCGACTTGGGCTACATCCTGTAAGTTTTTGTTCTCTTGAATAGGCTTCGCCCTTTTCGTGATCTCTTTACTTGCCTGATCGAGTTCTATTGCTGTCACTGTCTTCGAGGTTGTTGACTCTCCGCTGGGTGGTTGATGTGATGGGATTTCCTGGGGAGTCGGCACAGTGTCCTTCGCATCAACTGGCACCTTGGACGTTGAAGGCTCAGCTGTCTCGGCAACAACCGTCGGCTCAGCTTCTCGGGCTGCAACGGGCTCCTCAACGGGCTTCGTAACCTCCGCGGGGAGGACAATCTCTCTCTCTGCTTCTTCTTGTTTAGGGGTTTTGTCTTCCACATCACGTTTAGTCACCTCGGTTTCGGGCGCTGCGGGAGCAACTGGCTCCGGAGCGGCTCCCTTTAGCCCACCTTCTTCAGTTGCGGCCGAGATATCACGCTTCGAGTCGTCAGACTCTTGGTGAATGACAGCAGCAGTCGCCACAGCAGCAGTAGCAGCTGTGGTAACCGCGGCAGCCCCAGCGATGAGAGCAATCTTGTCTGACTCCTCTGGCACGGTTGGCGCCAAAGTCTTCTCAGCATCTTCCTTTTCTTGAGAAGGCAGCGGCTCAGAGACGGCCTCCACATCAGGTTTGGTAGAAACAGCAGGCACTTCGACTGCTGGTGTCTCAGCCCCTTCAAGATCGTCTGTCTTGGCATCGTCTTTCTCCTCCTCTCCCAAGGACCGACTCTGAATCTCCGAAATGTCTTCCGATTTCAACGCCAAAACGCCGTGGTCCTTCGACTCCTCACCCGATGTGGAGTCACCAAACCGTCCCGAAATATCAACAGGGGTATCATGTAATGAATGCTGCTCCTCACCTTTCCTGACTTTCTCTACCACGTTCTTCTCAACCGAAATAGGACCCACAGTGTCCTTGATTTCCTCTTCCTCAACGTTCTTGGGCGCCTCCGCCTCAGCAGCTACAGGCTGCACGACCTCCTCCACTGGCTCTGGCACGATTGCCTTTTCGCTCTCGACCACAACAGGCGTAGGCTCGGCTTCAGCCGCCGGGATGACGGGGGTGACCTCAGCAGGCACCTCTTCAACGGAAGCCGTAGAGTGTTCCTCAGCTTCAGCTGGCACCGCAATAGGTGCTTCGACAACCTCTACCTCCTTGGGGATTTCTTTCGTAAGTTCTTCGTCATGAGCCTTGGAGTCTTCCGTTAGCTCAGAAGTGGCCTGGATTTCTGATGGCTCTTTGCTATCAGCCTCGTGGACGACCTCGGCGTCAGCAGTCTTTTCAACTTCAGCTGGGGCAATAGCTTCGACCTCCTCGTGGGCAGGTTCAGAAACAACGGTCTCAGTCGGCTTGTGCTCCTCAGCGACCTCAGACTTGGCGATTTCAGACTCAGTCGCAACCTCAGACTCAGCAACAACCTCGGGCTTGGAGACCTCAGACTCGGTCGCAACCTCGGATTCAGCAACAACCTCAGGCTTGGCGACCTCAGACTCAGCGGCTACTTCAGACTCAGCAACAGGCTCAGACTCGGCGACCTCAGATTCTGTGGCGACCTCAGACTCAGCCGCGGGCTCAGGGTGGGCAGCGACCTCAGATTTAGCGACCTCAGACTCAGCGGCTACTTCAGACTCAGCAACAGGCTCAGACTTGGCAACCTCGGACTCGGTGGCTACTTCGGACTCGGTAACAGGCTCAGATTTGGCGACCTCGGACTCAGCGACAACCTCAGGGTGAGCAGCAACTTCAGACTTGGCGATTTCAGACTCGGTGGCTACTTCAGACTCTGCAACAGGCTCAGACTTGGCGATCTCGGATTCGGTGGCGACTTCAGACTTTGTAGCGACCTCGGGATGGGCAGCGACCTCAGATTCCGCAGCAATTTCAGACTCGGTAACGGGCTCAGACTTGGCAACCTCAGATTCGGTGGCTACTTCAGACTCAGCAACGGGCTCAGACTTGGCGACCTCAGATTCGGCGGCTACTTCAGACGCAGCAACGGGCTCAGACTTGGCGACCTCAGACTCAGCGACAATCTCAGTGTGAGCAGCGACCTCGGAGTCCGTAGCAACCTCAGACTCAGTAGCAACTTCGGGGTGAGCAGCAACTTCGGATTCAGTGGCAGCTTCAGACTCGGTAGCGACCTCAGACTCGGCAACAACCTCGGGGTGAGCAGCAACTTCAGACTCGGTAGCAGCTACAGACTCAGTGGCGACCTCGGATTCGGTGGCGGGCTCAGGCTCAGCAACATCCTTCTGAACATCACTCTCGGTCTCGGCCACTGTAACGTGTTCCTCAGGGGTAGATTCGCTTTCAGTGGTCTCAGGCTTGGCCTCAACCTCAGAATGAGTGGCATGAGAAACCTCGGATTCGACCTTGGAGACTTCCGACTCAGTAGCTTCAGCGGGAACAGAATGCTCCTCAGAAACTACAGATTGCTCGACAGGAGCCTCTTGGTGAGAAGCTTCTTCAGTCTCGGCGTGTGTCTCGACAGGCTCCTTGACATCCTCGACCACAGACTCAGGCTCTGCCTCCTCCGCCTTGGTCTCGACAGCACGGTGCTCTTCGTGAGTTTCCTCCTTAGAAGCTTCGGTGTCGTGAGACTGTTCGACTTCATGAGCAGGCTCGGCTTCTTCAGTCAAGTCGTGTTTAGCCTCCTCGCTGTGGACAGGCTCATGAGACTCAGCCACATCCTTAGGAGCCTCTTCAACGGCCTCCTCCTTGGGAGTTTCGTCGACTTCTTCGGCTTTGGTCTCGACCTCAGAGGCCACATGCTCGTGTTCAGCAGCAGGCTCTTCGTGCTTCTCGGAGTCATCATGTTTCTCCTCATCAGAAGCAGGCTTCTCTTCGGTCAGAGGGGCCTGCTCTTCGGCAACGACGTCGTCAACATCGGGTTTGGCATCAGAGTGCGGCTCGGGAGTCTTTTCCTCCTCGTGGTGTTCGGGCTCCGCAGTCTCGGGTGCCTTCTCCTCGGGAGCAGGAATCACCTCCGTAGCGATGTCCTTTGCGACTTCAGCATGCTCTTCATGTCCCTTGGCAGGCTCTTCGTGTGCTGCTTCGGTGACATGCTCTTCAGTCTCCTTAGAGGTCTCTTCAGGGTGGTTATCGACGACAGGCTCGGCAGCAGGCTCTTCCTTGGCCTCAGGTTCAGCGGTGTCTTTCTCAACCTCGGTGTGCTCCTCGACGGAGGGCTTCTCCTCTTCGGAGTGTTTCTCTTCCTCAGCAGGCGTAGCCTCCTCAGTGTGCTTCTCCTCTTCGACGTGAGCAACCTCTTCGGCAGGTTTTGTCTCCTCGGTCGCAGGCACTTCGGAGTGTTGTTCTTCGACGTGCTTCTCTTCGTGAGCAGGTATGACCTCTTCAGTGGGCTTATCTTCCTCAGTAGACTTTTCTTCCTCGGTGGGCTTCGTCTCTTCGGTAGATGGGACCTCTTCGGGGTGCTTCTCCTCTTCGGAGTGCTTCTCCTCTTCGTGAGCGGGGGCGACTTCCTCAGCAGGCTTCACCTCTTCTGAAGGCTTGTCTTCTTCAGCATGAGCCTCATCCACTTTCTCAGCCTCAACCGGCTCGGAGACCTGGGCATCATCCTTGTGCTCTGGTGTCTCAGTCCCCTTATGCTCGGCGGGCTCTTCGGCTACCACTGGTGCCTGGGTATCTTCTGTGTGAGTAGGCTCCTCGGCTGGCTTCTCATCGTGTGTTTCCGCCGGCTCGTGAGATTCTTCAACATGAACATCCTCATGAGCAGCAGGTACAACCTCTGGCTCCTTTGCCGACTCGGTTTCCTGGGGAGCATGCTCATGTTCCTCCTTGTGCTCCTGCTGATGCTCTTGCTCGTGCTCGTGCTCGTGCTCGGGCTCCTTAGCGGTTTCGGGCTCGGGCTCCGCATGCTCGGGCTCTGCAGGAACAGCAACTGGATCTTCCGTAGTCTTGGCCCCTTCCTCAGCGACCTTGGCATCCTCGTGGTGAGCTTCGGGTTCCGCTTCGGCCTTGACTTCTTCGGAAACAGGAACGGTCTCATCTGAATGCTCGGGCTCGGCTGCGTTCTCTTCCTTTGCGGATTCGACAGCAGGCTCAGGCTCTGCGGCTGCGGCTTCAGTCTTCTCCTCTACAGCCGGAGCAGCCTCATCCTCACCTCTTCCCTCGTCCGTGGCTGGTGGCGACGGAGGCTGGGCGGGATCGAGAGCGCTATCATCGGCCACGTCTGTCTCCGAATTCTTGGGGCTGTTCTTCTTCTTCTTCTTTTTCTTCTTCTTGTCTTTCTTAGCCTCGTCTTCGACTACCTGGCTTGACTCCTCCGGAGGAGGGGTAACTGTTGTGTCTTGCTCTGCCGTCTCGGCGGTTTCCCCCTCAGCCTTGACTTCGGATGCAAAGCTTTCGGAGGACAGTATAGGCGACGTTATCTGGCTTTCGCTTTTGTTCTTCTTCTTCTTCTTTTTCTTCTTGTTCTTGGAAGAAGTGGGCTCTGCCGCAACTTCGCCATCTACCTCGGCCTCTTCAGGCTGCTCTTCAGCCGCGGCCGAATCTTGAGGGGCATCATTTTCTGCCGCAAAATTAGCATTGGAAGATGTAGGGAGAAATACGCTCTAGGTGAATGTCGCCAATTACCTTTGTTGTCTACTGACACCTTGGACCCGACCTCGGAGTCATTCTTTTCGAAGTACTGGACATTGGAAAAATCTGAGAACTGTACATTGGACAAGTCTATGTTAGTCCTGACGGGACAGTACTCGACTTTTTGGGCGGTGCTCATACTTCCTTTGCCCTGTCGACCTCAGAGACCTCGGACTGAGCGAGTTGGGGCACGGCTGCTTTATCGACCTCCATACAAGCTGCACTGTAATCAGGTTATCCGACAGATGCAGGTGAAAAGCGCCAATAAGGAAAACGGCCGGTCTCTTGGGCCTTGGCGCTTCAGGACACAGCTGTCTGTGGCTGCTTCAAGGCGAATGTAGCAGCCTATTGGTACGGATGATGACGGGTTTCAGAGTGTAGTTTGGTATGTATGATGCAGGAGGTTTTTTTTTTTTTTCCTCTCTAAAACCTGCGAACAGGTGGGAAGTCAGTAAAGGCTTTGAGATGACACCACTTGGAGCCTTGTCTCCTCGAGCTGCATGGGCCCATCCAAAAAAGCACGTCCCATGCCAAAAAAACACCCATGGCCGTCCACAAGCGAACCAGAGAAGATTGACGATGCGGAGCCCAGCAGGCCAAGAGAGCACAAATTCCGGTCCAGAGCCCCCTTGCAACAGAGATCCATACCCACACGACGGCTGAATAGCAATCATGCGAGCCCAATTGGCAGAAGGAAGTCGTTTTCCGCCCGCCACGCCGCTCTACGATTGGGCTCAGCAGGTGGCCTTGTCGCCAGCCGGCCGCATTTGCGGGTTGAGACATGACTTGGATTCGCACGGGCTGACAGGATAGCTGCCCGACGCAACGAAAATGGAACATGCATGATCAACCAACGAAAAGTGGGATTGAGCGGCGGCGGGCAAATCAGACACGCAGACAAACAGCAATCATGAGGAAAAGGCGGCCAGATGAGCTGGCTAGCAGTGGGCCGAGTGGCTCCAGCTTCTGAGCGATATCAAAGACCGCCCACCGTGCAGGACCTAGCGTGTGAGGATGCGTCCGCGAAGGCTGGAGGGATATGCATGCTGTGACTGGTTTCCCTCTCGAGGCGTGCTACGTGGCTCGCCTCTTGATGCCCCGCGGTCGTCCTCATGCAGCTCAACCCCGGAATCTATCGGCATTGGGCGATTGCGTTAATTATCTGGGAGGGCGATTCCTTGATTGATCGAGCAAGTCGTCGTTTGTTTCGTCTCTTTGGCGAGGACAGTAAATGACTTGCTTGAGCAGCATGACTTGCAGAAGGCCCCCTTCTTTTTTCTCGAACAAGATGGGGGAAAAACAAGAGAATTCGCACCACGTACTAACCGTCAAGCCACCCCAAGCTACCAACTCGTATGCGCTGCCCGTCTCGGAGAGGCTGGTTCTTTTTGGCTAACCGGTGCTACGGCGATGGAGCCACAGCCGACACTTGACAGGGGGCGGTTCCGTGGGAGAAAATTCTCAAGCTCTGGCCAGGGTGCGGCAACTGTTGCTGCGAAGAAAATATCAGCCGACTGTCGTACAAGTACAGTACAAGCACAGTCGTCGAGACGGGACTCGTTTTGCCACCGGGCTCGGGCCAGGAAAGGAACCTTTGCTTTGGCTTTCTTGTCTTGCGCTCTCTTTGTTTTTTCCCTGTCGTGTCTCAAGCTCGAGTTGCGCTATCATGCAAGGCGTGCTAATAACGGAAAATGCGAGGGCTAGTGCTCTCTAGCAGGCGGTGTGTGGTGGTAGTTGAAAAGAGTGGGGGAGGAAGCACTTGGGGAGCGCCAATCCTCAAAGCAGCTCCGGAACCACACGTGAGATGCTTCACCGCGTAAATTTTTTTTTCTTCTGTTTTCTGCTTCCCTCTTTTTCTGTTGCTGCGGCTTTCCTGGCCTTGTTCACTGTCTTGGCGGCGCAGCACAGTGACATAATGGTGGAGATGATGGCTCAATCTGCGGGACAAAAAGCTCCCACGCTCTGCTTTCGTCGGCGATACGAGTGAGCCATGATGTGTGACAGACAGACAGCATCCATCACCAGCCCATCGTCCATGCTTACCTGGTCCGAGGACTTGATACATCCAGCGCTGCACTACACCTCTAACAGAATGCAGAGGACGAGTAACATCTGCCCGCTCCTCCGTTGACATACCAACCACTTAATTACATGCAGAATATCCAACCCTCCTGTAAGCCCAGACCCATGCACGCACCAGCCTTCCCATCAACCCCTCTTGATACTTTCACATGTACTCGTGCTCGCACACTATCCGCGCCGAGTGTTTGTTTTCCTGCGTACGAGTAAGTTCTCTACAGACATACATCCGTCGTACATGCATCTGCCTTAGTGCTGTAGCACTGCATGACGTGAGCCACTCAGGAGAAGGAATCAGAAAAAAGAGGTGGTCGGCAAAGCAGCAAATGCTCTCCAACCACCAGAGAAATGCTCCGATTGCTTCACCGGTGTGTGTCCAGCCTCTTCCGATCCGTTGTAAGCTCCTGTAGGTAAAGGGGAGAGGGTAAACGAAAAACACGCATATGACGATGCAATACACAGCGCGTACAATTTCATGCTCATCGTCTCTCAAGTATACTCGTAGTAAAGCTCATTTCTGGCTCTGGATTCTCGCCACCGAGTTCTCCGTCAAAACTACCTACTCTATGTACTCGCATGCAGAGTCATGTGCTGGAAAAGTCAACGTGGATCCACGAACCGCGGACCCCATCCAAATGCTACAAAGGTACGGAGCACGGCGTACGGATTACGGCATTCCTTTATGCAACCTCCGATACAGAATTATGCGATCCATGTCCGGCTGCATTAACTATGCAAATCTGGGTGAAACACTCGAATCAAATGTTTCCATCAGTCGCGGTGATTCAGAGCGAGATAATTAGATTCATGTGTGATAAAGGCAATTTGGCAGATTGCCTTACGTTGCTCACTGTGAGCGGAATAGAGACAAATGCACAATGTGGAATAAACGCCACAAGAAAAAAGCAAGGATATTCACCATTTTTAACTTTTTTAGCCGTCCTGCAATGGCACAACTCTGCAAATTTTGGTATCTTGTCGTGCCACACTCTACAGATCCACTTGTATAAACCCCATTATCATACCATCCATCATCAAGTGCGAAATTGCGGCGTTCTTAGCAAGCAAAATAAAGGACAAAGGAAACAAATAGGATCGCCGCCAATTTAGTAAGTCATCCATGCGTCGTGGACACCTCTCTAGGGTGCCTTGGCCGCGTTGTCCGTAGCGCTCGGGGCATAAGCAGCCTGAGCTCGGTTCTTCTTGATGACCTCCTTGACTCGCTCCTCTGCCTCGTCCCAGTCATCAGTATCGAGACGGACAAGGTCGATGCCGTAGGTGTTGGCAATGCTGCTGAGGGCATCGAAGCTCTTCTTGTCGTAGACGAAGCTGATACTGACTCCAACACGGCCGAAACGTCCAGTTCGGCCAATACGGTGGAGGTAAGTCTCAGCATCTGGCTCAGAATCGCCGCGGCCTTTCATCGGAATATCGTAGTTGATAACCATAGAAACGGTCGACACGTCAATACCACGGGCAAGGACGTTGGTAGTGATGAGAACCTTGTTCTCGCCTTGTCGGAACTTAGCCAACAGCTCATCTCTTTCATTTCCATCGAAAGCAGCGTGCAAGGCGGAAACTTTGTGTCCATCAGCTACCATGCGTCTCTGAATCTCGTTGGCGCTTTCACGGGTCTATGTGTACGTTAGCAAAGCTTCGTCGATTCAAAAGCCCAAGATCCGTTGGGAGCATACCTTGACAAAGATGACCGACTGGCCAATAGTCATAAGACCGTAGAGCTTGCAGAGAACGTCGTACTTGATATTGTCGTCAGCACAGTCAATAAACATTTGTGAAATGCCCTTGACCGTAAGTTCGTTGCGCTGGAGTTTCAGTGAGTGGGCGTTTGGTGCAAACTTCATCGCATATGAGCCAACTTTGTCGGGGAAAGTGGCTGAGAAGAGAAGGATTTGAATAGACTTGGGCAGCATACTATATCCACAGGTTAGCCATCTCTCATTTGTTTAAAGTGATTTTGCTCCAGGGCAGCCTTACTTCTTTACTCTCAAGCACTGGTCGCCCATTCCTTGTTGATCCAACATATTGTCGGCCTCATCCAAGACGAGAACCTTGAGTTGAGAGACATCCAACTGTCTTCGTCGGATGACGTCCATGACAGTACCGGGTGTTCCAACAATGACTGCAGATCGGACTGGCTGGTCACGGGGCAAAGCACCTGGAATGGCCGCGGCAACCTTGAGAGGCTTGATGAAGCGACCAATAGCACCAATGACGCCTTCAATCTGACGGGCCAGCTCTCGGCTGGGTGCCAGGGCAAGGGCTTGCGGCTGATCAGGGTTGTTGAAATCGACACGCGACAGAATGGCAGTAACAAACGCTGCGGTCTTTCCAGTTCCTGATTGGGATTGGGCCATCATATTCCTCGGAGGATCGCTAAGCATCAGAGGAAGAGATTTTCCCTGAACTTTCGAAGGCTTCAAAAATTTGAGAGCCAGAAGGCCCTTTAGGAGGTCCTCGGAACTTTGGCAGCATGATTAGCGAGAATCCACAAGGAGTACAGAGGGGGGGGGTTCAATTCTTACAGGCCCATATCCTCCCATTGCGTGGCAGAGTGAAAGGGTGTGGCTTCGTTGTTCTGAAGATCGCTGAGGGAAACCTCGACATCCCACTCTGGCTCCTGCAGGCCAGAGCCACCAAGCTCCTCAATGGCACCGTCATTCTGTGCCTCAGCGACAGAAGAATCGGCGGCCGGAGCATCAGCTTCGGGCTGAGTCTCAGCCTTGACCGCTTCGTCAGGTTTCGTAATGCGACTCGCGAGGTCAGACATTTTGGAGATGTTGGTTGATCGGACTATCGGGTTCGTGGATTGAGAGTGGCGGAAAGAAACACGCAGATCAACGAGATGCTCAAGGACAGTCTGCCTGCAACTGTCTCAAGTCGAGTTAGATGTTGAGGGAAGAAATAGAAGAAAAAAGGAAAAATCGTGACTCGACGTACTCCCCAAGCGCCACCAGATGCTACCTACCTATGGTCCAAGGTAGAGTGACCTGATATATTGATGGGGGAAATTTTGGTGGGGTTGGTTGGAGGGGTGATCTGCAGAAATCCACCACAGAGCTGCGATTGAAGTGGTGGCGTGCCGATATTTTGCCGGACCGCGCCATAGCTCTCAGCCACCAATTGATCGCGCCAGAGATATGTAGACTACCTTAGTACTAACCAACTACAGGTACTAACCTACCTACTGCTAATATTGTATAGCCCATTACACTTCTGAATATCTCCAAGTTTTATCGCATTTCGAAACTTACCATTTTCTTTTCTTTTCTTTTTACTATTCAATTCCACTCAGCTCATGTCTCAGAGTCAATCATCATAGCCAAGTAACTTTTCTTACCACGGGAACATGGCGGCTCCTCCGCCGCGAGGACTCTCCCTCTACGACAATCTACACGATCCCAACGATCCCTCTCCATCGGCTACCATCTCCTCCGCGCCGGTGACCTACAAGCAAAGCGCGTCTCCAGCAGATGAGCAAGCAGCGAAGAAACCCCTCAATCCCGCGCTTCAGTTCCAGCCCATACGGCGTCCACAAGTAAAGCAGCCCAAGGCCAAGCCGACATTTCCCAAAGCGATCCCCAGGACTGCGCCCACCACAGACTCGGCAACTACCGCAACAGCCCCCGGAGCTACGCAGTCAATACCACATCAGAGTACTCTTGCTGATTGGGCGGCAACGGAGGAAGATGAATGGATGTACGGTGTCGGGGAGAAACGCCAACGCGGCGGTCGCAAAAAGAAGAAGAAGCGGCAGGAGCAGTTCGAGACAGACTGGGACGAGATGTACGATCCATCCAGGCCGACAAACGTGGACGAATTCCTCAAAAGCGAAGAAAAGGTAGAAGAAGTGCGGGAGTGGAAAGGCTTGCTATATCGACACCGGAAGCGACAGGAAGAGAGCGACATCTCAGACTCGGAGGAGGAGGCACCCCGTGCAGCACCCTCGAGTAAGCTCACCCACGCCGTTATCATTTGGACAAGACTAATTCATATCACAGATCAATTTGCTCCGCCAGCTTCATACTCCTTTGCGCCGCCTCCAAGATCTCCCCCAGCTGCTCCACCGCAAGACGAAACAGCAGACGACGCCTATGCTCGTCGTCTAGCCCTCTCAACAACGCAACAAGCTCCTCCGTCTCAAGCTTCCGAGTCATCACCACCTCCTCCCCCTCAAACAAACAACAACCCATCTTTTGCTCCTCCGCCGCCTCCACCCTCAGAATCCACTACAATATCCAAAGCCCCCGTCCGCTACACCCAGACCCCCCCAACCAACACCAACACCAACGCCGACGAAGACGAAGGCTACTCACCGCCCCCCAGCTTCAGCCGCGCCGAAGACGACGATGACGCCCCCGACGACGACACCGAACAGCCGCGAACCAACCGCCCCGGCCAAGCCGGCTTCGCGCAACGCCTCATGTCCAAATACGGCTGGACACAGGGCACCGCCCTCGGCGCAAACGAATCAGGCATCCTCAACCCGCTCCGCGTCCAGGTCGAAAAGAGGCGCAAAAAGGCCGACGCAGACGGCGGCGGCTGGGCCGATCCCGCCAACAAGGGCAAGATCCTCGGCGGCAAGCGCAAGGAGGACACGGGCAAGTTCGGCGTCATGAGCGACGTCATTGTCCTCCAGAACATGCTCGAGAACATGCCCGACCTCGAGGCCGAGATCGCCGACGGCCTGGGCCAGGAAATCGGCGGAGAGTGCGGCGAAAAGGTACGAAAAGCAAGCAACGGCTTTCCTGGTATATCATGCGAAAGAGGCATTTGATGGCTAATAATGTGCGATATAATAGTATGGGCGAGTCGAGAGACTATACATTGACGTAGACACTCGCCAAGTCTTTATCAAGTTCACGGACCAAGTGTCCGCACTGCGAGTAAGTCACATACATCTTCAAACGAGCAACCCACTGGTCACTTCAAGTTATCCTGGATTAACACAATAGCAACAGGCAGTCAATGAACTGGACGGGCGTGTTTTTAATGGCAACACTATAATCCCAAAGTTCTACGACACCGAGAAATTTGAACAAGGCATCTACGTAGATGCGACGGCGTAAAGTTTCTCACAGGGCTCTCATTTAATAGTCATGGTAAACGACTATACTTCATTTTCGCAGGCACGGAGCAAGGTAGACACATAGGTAATTAGGCAAAGTTGATTTGATAAAACAAAAAGGCAAAAAGTGGTATAAAAAGTACCCTAAGTCTAACATACACCAACACCGGTAAAGAAAGTCTAAAGAGAGGTGCAAATCGTGATAGAATATCACCAGTAACCGTACACACGTAAAATCCTTCCAAGTCTCGAGCTCGCCAGTGATAGCCAAATTGTCACAGGCAATACAGCTTGTGCGTCATGCATCATGTCGATGCTCGTCGAAAGGATAAGAGGAGCGTGGCGACATTTTGAAGTACATTTCCATTATTAAGTTCTAGCGTTAGTGCCGCGAACACACACAAAAGGGGCGGTCACATATGAGTTGACAGCCAAGGCGTGGGGGGGTTGACGAAACCACAATGTGTTGGCTAAAAGAAAACAGAAAAACATCTGGGAGAACAGAGATTGACGCCAAATTCCGACCCATCATCCTCCGAATTTTTTTTACCACAGCAGGGCCATACCAGCAAGGGCAGAGACACCCAAGAGGACGCTGTTGACGCTGAGGGCAGCGACAGCGTTGTCATTGTCATCACCGTCGGTGTCGCTGCTGCTGCCGCCCTTGCCGCCGCTGGAAGTGTTGGAGTCACCGTCGCTACCTCCCTCGTTGGCGGCCTTAACGTTGCTCTTGCAGGATTCCTGACCCTGAATGATCTTGCTCTTCTTGGCATCATCGAAGAAGCCGCAGAATTCAGAAATGTCGGTGGTAGAGAAGACGGTGCATCCGCCCTTGACATCCTTGAGGCTGGGAAGCTTAACACTATAGAAAGATGTAACGGTCAGCGATAAAGAATATAGATACATACGGGAATCGAGATGTGCTGGCTACTCACGTGTCAAAGTTACCGCGGAGGATGACACCACCAGCAACGGTCTGCAGCTTGGGGAAACCCTCAACGGCATCCAGGACGGTGTTGTTCTGGACAGTCAAGTCACCAACAGAGGTCAACAGGGGGAATGAGACGTTGGCGAGCTTGTTGTTGTTGATGAAGGTGACACTGTCGCCGATGGAGGTGACGTTCTTGGCGCTGAAAGTGGTGAGCTGAGGGTTGGTATCGAACTTGAGGGAGTTGGTGATGGTCTTCAGGCTAGGGACGATGAAGCTCTTGACGTTAGAAAGCTGAATCTCGGCAGCGGACTGAAGCTTGGTCATGTTAATCTCCATGTTGTTTCCGTTGCTAGTAACACTGAGAAGGGTAGTGATGTTGACCAGGTCGGAGTTGAAGGCGGTCAGCTTGTTGTTGTTGGTGATGGTCAGGGAATCAACACTGTTGATGTTGAGACCGCTGAGATCACTGAGGAAGGTGTCGGTAACCTGGATGTCGCTGGCCTTGGTGACACCAGAAGAGCCAAAAACCAGATTGTTAAGCTGGGGAAGCTTGACCATGTTCAACTTGTTCAAGGTCTTGAGCGCCTGCATGTTAACAGAGCTCAGGAGCTCGAGGCCGTTGAGCTCGAAGTTGCCGCCAATGGAAGCAATTGTGATACTCTGGACGGAAATGAGCTGAGTGGCATTGTTGATGATGAGATCACCAGTGATCGTCTTGGGGCCGTTGAGAATAAGGTCACCAGCAACAGACTCATCGACGATGATGTTGGCGTCAACGGTATCGCAGGAGATGACAGGGTTAGGCGTGGTAACCTTGATGTCCTTGGAACAGGCGCTGGAGGCAGCTACAGTCGTGTTAGTATTTTGCAATCATGCCACAGGGAGCAAAGGATCTTACCAGAGGCGACGCTGGCGGCGCCAGCAGCCAGGATGGCTGAGAAGAGCTTGGAGGAATGCATTCTGATCTAATGAAAAGGACGAAAGTCAGCAAGCGTGCACCGAAAACGCGTCAAAATAATGAAAAATGAAACGTGAAGATGGCAGTGTCGCGATTCGAGGCGTGAAACTGGCGCAAATAGGGGGTATCTGACTGTGGCGTTTAAACTATGCAACCGGTCCAAAAGGCACGAGACGAGGCAAAAAGATGTTGACGGAATCCAGTTCTCGATCGCTCGAAATGGCCCAGGTGTCTAAATATTTCCACTCGTAACGGCAACAGGCGAGTCCGGGAAGGAAGGGCGTCGATTTGGGCCAAAGAAGGGGGGAGCGTGTTGTTGTTGAAGAGCAGAACAGCGCAATCGCAACCGGAGAACCAGCAGCAAGCTTTGAGGCGCAAATCGAGGCCAAGCCGGCAATGTCAAGTGTGCGTGGAAGGAAAAGAGCAGAGCAGAGGAAAGTTTGCAATGTGCCAGTGACAGGTGCCAGTGACAGTGACAGTGCCAGTGCCAGTGCCAGGTGAAACGGAGGTTGGAGGAGCAGCAGCGAGGCAAGGCAACGCGCACACCACAAAACAAGCGAAACCAGGAGAGCTCACACACCTTGTTACTGTAGCAGAGTCGATCTTTTTCCTGACACGAGAAAAACTGGAAACGTTCCTGGGCAACGGGGTAGAGATGTCTCAAAAGATGGTGGTCAAAATAAGGCTACTGGTTGGCCTGGAAGACTGCAGTTGGAATGGATGGGGTGGGAAGAAAAAATGGTTATGTGGAATAATAAAAAGCTATAGCGCAAATTGCTTGGCCTGATAACGAGTGGCAGGAATTGAAGCAGGACGACGACGAGACGACAGCAAGAGCAAGAAACAAGAGAGAAAGCGAAAAAGCGAGGAAGAAGGAGAGAAAAGGGAAGAAGAACCTGTTCCTGGGACGAAACCAGGCGGCACCCCCTGCTGCGCGAGAGCTTCCTCGTGCACCAACCACAGGCCGGATACAGGGCCTGGCCAGGGGAGAGAGGCCGCAAATGTCCCCTGGGAATGGAGCTCTAGGGGGTGTGGGTGGATTGGGAAGGGCTGGCCGCCCCCACCGCGCCTCATCTCCATAATTTGCCATCAATCTAATGAAATTTGTCCCCGTCTCCAGCTGCAATGGGCGGAGGGAAAACAAGGCAATGATGCTCGGCTGGCGGCAGAATTGGAGACTGTAGACTAGAGTACTCGTACATAGATGGCAGTGGCGCCGATGGGGCACTTGGGCGCAGATTAACATTTGGGATGGGCGTATAGAATTGCTCAGAATGATACGGAGAACAGTTGATACTAGCAGTACTCCCATCGGGCGCCGGGGGGGTTTTGGGTAAGGGTTCGCACTGTGAAAAGCGTCTGGTAAGGGCTCTGGTAATGGTTTTTGTACTTCCGTAATGGTTTTCTACCCTAACTTCATTGCTTATAACGATTACCAGCCTAAAAAGGCTGACCAGACCACTGACTAGAAACCACCCCGGGCTCCTAGGTCGTATAGCCCTATTGCTTGCTACACTGTACTCTCTACATGTAATCGCACGTACTCCGTGCACGCGCGTGCGCTGCATACGGAGCTCGTTTTGAAGCGCGCCAGACCAACTTGTGCCGTCTGTCTTTTTTGCTTATTATCGACGGGGCCGTCCATATTACCGAGAGACAGACAGTGCCAGCATCAGCTCCATCCTGTGGACTTGTACCTGATTATTTTGCAAGGCACCGGCAACGTTGACTCGCAGCAGCTCCCCGCGCCAGGTACAAGTACCTACTCCGTACAAATACCTACCCAGAAAGCTGCGCGCAGCTCCCTCGCTAGACTGGTCGGGCAGGTAATATCAACAGAAACGGCCCTCCGTGCCTGGCCCTTTACCGCTACGGGCAGTACCAACAAGGTACTCATGTAGGTACGGCGTTCCCGCATGCGTCCATGTACCGCCTTGGTCCTGGACGGTAATAAGAATCTCACCTCGGGAGGCCCTTGGCAAGGCCCGTAATCGAACAATCCGTGGGCCGACCTGTACTTTGCAATCTTGGCCGAGTGCATGTCTCTCAGCACTCGTCTTCGCTGCTCATGCACTATTTCCTTCACACTGTATATGATCCGCATGCATGCGATGCGCATCGAATGCCATCATTCCCATCACCACGACGTCGTCGCTGCAGATCGTATCGTCGTGCGCCACTCCAGTGTTCAACCAGCCGCTAACAGCACCGGCACAGCTTCGCCAAAAGCACCGTCTCAGCAACCATGTGCGGGCTAACAGGGATCATCAGTGGAAATGCTTCAATTGAATTTGTTAGCGCCCCTGGCACGGCTTCCTTTCTGGAGCCCACCGTTGTGCAGAAGCTCGTCTGCAGCTGGCTGGCTGGCGCGGAATTTTCGGCCATGGACAAGCAAACTTTCCCGCTCTCCTTTTTTTTTCTCTCTTCCCTTCGCTCGATGGCTAGCAAGATTAGTCGGAGCGCCGGTACGAGGAGTTTCAAAACACTACCGAGGAGTCACGCAAGGAGTCCCGTCAGCCTAGCAACATGAATCCCTGGGCTGCATACTCCGTGCATGGCTAGTTCCAGCCAGTTAGTGTACGAGGACAGTATGGACAGTACGAGTATTTTCCTCGTGCTCCTTGCTCTAATCAACCCGGAGCGCATACTCCGCTCCGAGCATAGTTGCACTGTCGGTACTCCTTTCTTCAGCAGTTGGAAGTGTTTCATCCTTTGGTGCTCAATTGCTTGGGTGATTGTTTGATTGTTTTCTTCAGCAGCAACAGCATCGGCTCCACGGCAACGCCGGCCGGGCAATGATGCCGAACGATGACGAGGGCGATACTCAAATTCATGCATTGACGCATTGGCCCGTCACGGCGGCTTTAGTCGTTGTGGCTTCTTGGCACGGCTGGTGTGCCACACCTTGTTACCGAACCTCCAATAGTGTCCGAACCAACTCATTCAGATGCGATACGAGAACTCTAACATTCAAAAGGTACGCGTAGAGCTCGACGGCATTGGTCAATTTGGGGCATCAAAAGCCCGATGGGGATCTTGCTGGCCAACATAACGGTACTGTATATTATTAGATATCAGTTGACCTCCCATCGAGCTAGACACAGCCAATCCTGGCCATGAGCGGCCAAGACTGTGCTCCGTATCATGTACAATGAGGGCATCATGATACAACCGCAAAACGCAATTCCAGTGATGCAAACACCCCCTCTTGGGCAACCTATGATTGTCATACCGAACGATAAAGCTAAAAGCTGCATTGTCATTGTTTTGGGTTACACTTCTAATTTAGGGTACAGAGCTACGCGTCATACCCAAAAGCAACTTGGTACCTCATAGATCCAAGCAGCGCCTGGTAGTTAGGTAGTCCAATCACACAGAGCCTTTCTTCCTCCAAGCTCAAGTTGGCCAAACAAAGCATGCCCCGTGCCTTCAACACTCTTTTCATCTCATCATTTTAATACGAAGCCCAGACACAGGCGACCGTGCAAGCAATTCGAGAATCAGCATCTTGATACGAAGTGCCTTGACTGTCCCACCGAAAACAAGTACGAGCATCACAAAGGAGGTCGACGCGGATGGCCCGTACTCTGTACGACAGGAAAAATACGAGTACATTAGGTACTCCGCAAGTGTCATGATCTAGAGTCCGTATTACAGCTCACCTTGAAACCGTCTAATTAGAACACTAAATGACGCCGCTATTCCTGCTTTATACATCAATTGCTCAATGTGCCTCCGGTCCTATCTACATATGCCCGCATGCGGCATACCCAAGGTAATCTTGACATAACCCCTTATCACCAGCGATTTTGACTCGTCTAAGATCAAACGGCCCGTCCCCGGATACATGTAACTCAGAATGTTGTCAGTCCCCTTTTTATGTAAGACGGCTGCACGTGTCATCCGCGCCGAGCCGTCACGCATCGAGGTCTAAACAAGCTTGGCTTCCGGGTCCAGAATAAGATTTGACGAGTGATACCGTAGACAGGGCCACTTGCAGACAATCAAATCAATAGACACATATGAGAGCCTGGATTCACTCCTGAGTTTGCTCAAGTCCGTCCTGAACCTAAAATCTGGGACGCATTCCCTCGTACATTGAAGTGACGAGGATGTGCGGGATCGCCGATTCTCTCTTTAGAATTCGTGTTGAGGATGCTATTAATACCTACTTTAAAAGACCCATCCCATGCTATTATTCGAACATAGTAGTAGTACTCGTATGAACTATCTAACTTACCTTGCTTTGTGCAGCTAGGAATCACACATACACACGTAAAACGTGCTGCTTATTTCTCCATGGTACTAACATCAGTTTCCTCAACCTTCCACATGTACCACATAAACAAACTCCGATACGGTGCGAACTTGTCCGACAGTTCCACCATGTCTTGCTCAGACATGTATTTCCATTTGCCTCCCTTGCTCTTGAGCTTGGCTACATCTCGTCCGACAAAGGCGGCCATGCCTCTCTGAACGCCCAGGTCGCCCAGGGAAAAGACGTCCATTCGTTTAAGGGCAAAGCAGGCAAACATCTCGACGGACCACTTGCCCAGCCCACGAACGGCGATGAGCCTCTCCATGAGCTCGTCATAAGGCGCGTCGTGGAGCATCTGGGCCGTGATCTCGCCACTGGCAAACTTCTCGGCGAGGCCCTGCACGTACTCTGCCTTGCGCTGCGAGAGGCCGGCGGTGCGCAGCCGCTCGATTGAGCATGCTGCAACTTCGGACGGGATCGGAAATCTCTTCTTGGACGAAGCGTCGCCGTCGGCAGGTTGAGAAGACGCATCGCCGTCCTCTGGGTAGAAGAGGGCAATGAACTTGTTCTGGATGGACTTGGCCGCCGCGCCGGAGACCTGCTGCGATATGATGCTGCTCACCAGGCTCTCAAACGGGTCAATCTTCTCCGCAAGTCCTTCGGGGGAGAAGCTGCGGCAGTGATGCTTCTCAACCAAGGGCCGCATACGCTCATCAACCTTGATCAGATGGTCGCACGCCTCCTGCAGGATTGTGGCCGTGGTCGTAGGCTTGAGACCGATTGACGGCGCTTTTGACGGCGACACCGCTTCCACATCGCGCGAGGCGACTATTCGCGACGTCTCCGGGGACAGCAGCGTCGCATTGGAGAATCTGGGGTCTGCGAGGCGAGTGACGGACTTGTGGGCAGTGCCTTTGGTGCCATTGAGGGCTGCGACGCTGGTGGTGGGCGTTAAGGGGGGAGCAGCTGGGCGCTGCTTCTTGGTTGGTGTTTTGGGCGCCGAGGGCTCGGGCTCAGGAGCTGCCTTTCTCTTCCGCTTGTTCTCCTTTGGAGGATTTGGGGCTGCTTTTGTGGCAGTCTTTGCTGCTTCGGCCGCTCCTTGGGTGCTCGCCTTGTTGCTGATGCGCGCGGATCGCCGTGTGGCCGCCATCGCCGCGAATGAGTATGTGCTGAAGGTCGGTGGTGAAAGGTTGAGTCGAGCTACGCCCAGTGTAAGTGGCCTGTATACAGCGGCTAGAGACTTTGCGTAGTTGAGGAATTGCATGCGCTGCTTGGTCTATGGGCTGTCCAGAATTGGCTGGATTGACAATTTGCGACTTTAGAAACTTTACCCGGAGGTGTATGAAGATGCAAAAGTCCAATTCATTCAAGTGTGCTGAGTGTCACTTTGCGCCTTTGGTGTCGGTTTGCAGTTTGTCATCACGGCCAAGTACCGGCATGCAAAGCAGCACGGCAATTGCGTGCAGAAAAACACACAGTGACATGCGAGAAGAAAATCAGCAGCGAATGTGCTGTGGTAAGACTTTAAAGTCCGCGCCAAAGGAAAAGACAGCCAACTAAAACATCGAGATTTCTAAACTAGGCAAGATGATCATGAATAAACTTGCCTATGTGGCACCCCCGTTGTCATCTGTTATGGCATCCGATTTGCTCCCTGTTGAGATTACGGTGCGGTATTCCGCAGGCCGACTCAAGACCACTTTTGGTTACCTAATGATACTTAAGAGTTGGGATTGCCACCTTGGTCCTTTTTTTTTTTGTTCTTTCCCCCCCGTCTCTTGATTCTCTCCGCGGTAACTCTTCGCTTTTCTTTTCCCTTGTCATGTCATCTTCAGACTGCAAAATAGAGGAGCCAGATGATGCAATTAGGCTTATTTGTTTGTGAATAAACAACCTTAAAACGATACCCAGCATTATCACTTCATCTGCACCGTAACTCGTATTTTCTGCAGGGTAGCATTATGGCCACAGCATGTACTGCAGTTAGTTGACCTCCTGACTAGCGCGTCTCGATTGACACAAGGATTCAATTGGGTTGAAGTCCGACTTCAAGTCGGGTGTCGCTAAAGCGCAACATCATTGGTACCAGAAGGAGCCACTTTTTCGCTCGCCGCGGCCGACACATGAAAGTATCCCGCATGTATTGCTCTGCACTGCCCAACGGTTAAACTTTTCAACAGGACAGCAACACTCCAATGGGTACCGTACACTGATACGCTAAGATAGGTACGGAACACCCTATCTCGACTGCTCCCCCTTCCCTACTTCGTTGGACGCCATTTTGTCCGGCAGCCTCTCATTACATCCAACGTCGGCTCTGTGTCTTGCTGTTCTGTTATCGTTGACCTGATCCAAGCGTCGCCTCCACTCTCGTTTGAAAGTCTTGCTCTTCCTTTTCTTGGCCCGTGTTCCGTAAGCCCGTCCACCGTCTCGAATCCTTCCGTGTCATCCCCGAAACGCTTCCATTGCTTGAGCGACATTCGACAAGTCTCGTTTTCTAGGCGCCAATTGCAACGGTAACTCCCGGGAACCGAGGCGCGCCTTGACAGATCATCATGTTGCTCCCCAAGGGTGGATTGAGCTGGAAATCGGCGAGGGCGCAGATCCCTCCGACCAGGGCATTGTGGAATGCCGTGACGCGAACACGATTCATACTGCTGGTTGGAGTTACGGGAATCATCCTGCTGCTATGGCGTGGCGTGTCTAGCTCGGCGTCAGAGATGCAGAGGTGAGCAGTTGCGTGCTGGTTTTTGCTGGTTACGCGCATGGAACTGACCACCCACGATGCCACATAGCTTCTATTGCCGGGGTCCGGCTAAGCCACCCATGGAAATGTCACCGAACGAGCACAACAGATGGAATGGGCACTTGCAGACACCGGTCATCTTCAACCACCATGCCCCCATCGAAGTCAATTCGAGCACAATTGAGCACGTCGACCTCAACCCCGTCAACTCGACCAAGCAAGCCATTGCCAAGGAAGAGAGGATACTCATCTTGACGCCGTTGAAGGATGCCGCGCCCTATCTGTCAAAATATTTCGAGCTCCTTGCGGAACTGACATATCCCCATCGACTGATTGACTTGGCGTTCCTTGTGTCAGATTCTACCGACGACACCCTCGCCGTTCTTGCCTCCGAACTCGACCGCATCCAGAAGCGACCCGATCAGATTCCCTTCCACAGCGCAACGGTCATTGAGAAAGATTTTGGATTCAAACTTAGCCAAAACGTTGAAGAGAGACACTCGTTTGAGGCTCAAGGACCCCGACGGAAGGCCATGGGCAGGGCTAGAAACTACCTTCTCTACACGGCTCTGAAACCCGAACACTCTTGGGTTTACTGGCGTGATGTAGACATTGTGGACAGCCCTACAGGGATTTTGGAGGACTTTATTGCTCACGACCGAGATATTCTGGTTCCAAGTAAGGAGTATAAGATCTGATGAAAGACGAAAGACTGTTGCTAATCTCCGATGCCAAGACATTTGGTTCCACCGCTACCGTGACGGTGTGGATATCGAGGGCCGATGTAAGTGATATCCAACCGTGAAGAGAACACACGGAAGTGCGGTCGCTTACCAAACAAATAGTCGATTACAACTCCTGGGTCGAGTCCGATGAGGGTCGCAAGCTGGCGAATAGCCTAGACAAGGATGTCGTTCTCGCCGAAGGTACGTCGCCCCTTACAAGACGTTTGATTTGAATAGTGCTTACCAGAACGACAGGCTATAAGCAATACGCCACTGGCAGAACCTACATGGCGAGAATGGGCGACTGGCGCGAGAACAAAGACGTGGAACTTGAGCTCGACGGCATTGGCGGTGTCAATATTCTTGTCAAGGCAGACGTGCACCGCTCCGGTATGCCCATAAATGCTACCCTGCTGATGAAGCAGGCAACGGCTAACCAGACTTGATTCTCTCTAGGCATCAACTTTCCTTGCTACGCTTTCGAAAATCAAGCCGAAACTGAAGGATTCGCCAAAATGGCCAAGCGTGCTGGCTATGAAGTCTATGGTCTCCCCAATTACGTTGTTTGGCATATCGACACCGAGGAAAAGGGCGGCAATGCGTAAACTCGACACCAAACCCTGAAGAACTAATTTTCGCTTCACGTGTCCCATATTCTGCAATAATTCGGATTGTTATATTGGCGACATGGGCCAATACTTGTACGAAGACTAATGATGTTACACTTCTCGCGGACCGGTTCACGCTTTAGATACGACCAGCCTTGATATTGATATGGCAACCGGACGGCGGTGAGTACGTTCTGCTGCATTCTGCCGCCGCAGATTGATCTGCCTGTTCGCACTCTTAATAATGATGGTATTTGTCTGGGAAGGCTTGCACGTGTTTGCGTCGAGCCTGGAAAGCGATCGGCGAGTATAGCTTTTCCGCTGTGGTACTAGATTCTGGTTACTTGCGTTGCGTATATTGGAGCTATTGGAATGGAGATTGCTGCTTGTGTAAAGGCGGGAGCAAATGGCAAGGCAGGCTGTAACAGTTTTTGTATGTTTGTGTGTTTTCGGGAGTTTAGAGTAGGCATGGCATATCATTCACACGGCCGACAGGCTTTTGAATTTCTCCTCCAAAACTTTGTACAAAGCATACCCTAGGGACAACCCTTCGTCTACTATTGACTCAAATCTACCGTTCAACGATTAGGGTCTCTTGGGTATATTCTCTGAGAGAGCAGGTCATATTCGCGTAACATCAAATAAATACTAAGCAAAAAGCAGCATGTGCCTCGACATCCATTAGAATCCCCCTGTGATGCCAAAATGTTTCAGGCCTCCCTGTATTTTGGCTGCTATCTGCCAGGGTCACTCGTTCTAAACGGTCTGGTCAGCCGACCAACGCCCGGCCTGTATCGCATCCTCGGACTAGCAGCAGGTACATGCACTTCGCACTTCGCCGAGATAAGGAGCACGCCAGCACATGACGCGCGGTAGAGTTTCGGCTAAACCCTCGCTTTCGGTGGTTGGGTGCCGTCATAGCAGCACACGTACAACCTGGACGAGTGCATCCCATCAGCCGCCTGCGACTGGCTGCGCATCCCGACGATTTTTACGGCGCTGCGTGCATAACAACTCCCACGAGGTGCGTTATCCTGGACCAACCGAGGCTGGGATTGCTGCCTAGTCGCTGTTGCGCCTCTCTTGCTAACCTGGACCACGACTCTAGGCCGACCCCCGCCATCAAGAGCCTGCTGCTTCGGTTGCGGCATCACACCGTCATTCTGCTCCTTGGAACCACGCTCATCGAGTCCATCGAATCTACTTAATCGCCGCATCTCTTTTCTCAGATCCGGACCTCGCAGTTCATCTTCATTCGCGATCATGTGGGGCTGGTTTGGAGGCGGCGCCGCCTCTCAGAAGAAGAAGGATTCGGCCAAGAATGCCATCCTCGGCTTGCGGTCGCAGCTTGACATGCTGCAGAAACGAGAGCGGCACATCCAGAACCAGATCGAGGAGCAGGAGGCCATCGCCAGGAAGAACGTCAACACAAACAAGACAGGTACGTAGATGGAAAACTTGCGAGACATTCGGATGCAGCGGGGTAGCAGTGTTGACAGGATGGAAACAGTGGCCAAGGGCGCCCTGCGGCGCAAGAAGATGGCAGAGGGCACGCTAGATAAGACGATTGCGCAGATTACAACGCTCGAGCAGCAGATCAACGCCATGGAGTCTGCGAATATCAACCGCGAAACCTTGGCAGTGTTGGAGAAGTCATCAGCAGCCATCAAGGATATCCACCAAGGCCTGACACCGGAGAAGGTGGATGCAATCATGTACGTGGCCTTGCTGCCCTATTTTACTTTTCCATGTCAGCGCTCCCTTGGAAACGATGAACTGACAAGGATACAGGGATAAAATTAATGAACAGAATGCGCTCAGCGAAGAAATTGTCAGCGTAATTACCAACAACACGATTGGCGAGGCGGTTGACGATGACGAGCTGGAGAGAGAGTTGGCGGATCTGCAACAAGAGCAGGTCGATGAGCAAATGTTGAGCACAGGCAACGTGCCTCTGACAGACGCAGTCCACAAGTTGCCCACGCCATCGCATGCAGAGCGTAAGTTTACTTGTCAGACCTTGTGGGACAAAGGCAGCGCTAATATTCCCAAAGCCATATCTAGCAGGAAAGTGGCCGTTGAGGAGGATGACGAGGAAGCCGAGCTTCGGAAATTGCAAGCCGAGATGGCCATGTGAGCTCTCTGTTCTTACACGCAGAAGTCTCGCAGTACGGGCATTCCGCGGCTAGAATTGACCATGTATCGATTTTACTGTGGACATGGTCACTTCACTTTCTCCCACCCCGTGCAATGAGCAAATTTGTCGTCTAACCCACACAGACCTCATTCACTGGTTTTTGTTTTTCCCCCCATCTCCCTTTTAACCCAATTTGTGTTTCCCAGGCGTTGGCGTCTTTGAGGGTGTGTTTTTCTCCTCTGGTGGTGAACAGTCCCGAGACAGGTGAAGCGAAATATCCTTTTCAAGGCCGTGCAAGGCTCATTACAGGGATGACATCTTTAGGCTTTCTTGTACAAGGGGAGGTGCTACTTCCAGGCAGTTGAAGTTTTGCCGAGTTGTTTTGGTAGAGAATTAGAAGTCAGCCCAAGGATGGAATCTAAAGAGAATAATATTCTGTTTATCTACTACACGATATGCTCCGCCTTTGATGAGGCCAGATGCCTCTACGATTAACATTCACCATTCACCTACTCCGTACACAATGACGTTTCGGTTAAGATCAAGTCATCTTAGAAAAGGGGAATCAGTAGATTTCATTTGGCGCCGATGTACCCCGTATCTGCGGAATCACATAAGCATGGCGGTTACATATGGGCGAGGTGATGCAGATTGATCTGATTAGGCAGCCGGCCCGATAGTCCTCGTGGGCTGGGCACTTGAGAGAAACATGAAAGCGGGAAATGATGACTTTGAGGGCTGAGTCGGCGGGATTCAGCTGGAGACTGCTGCTGTTCTGGATGTCTCCATTCTCGATGGCCACGACTAACAGCGAGATGCGGACATGGGTATCTTGGTATGTGCTGAGTTATGACGTATTTGGAATACCTTGAGTTTATAATATGAATAGGTATGCTAGACTGCTGGGTAACTACTAGATAGTCAGAGGAAGAAGAGACAAGGATTCTTTTTTTGGTTAAAAAAGATGTAGCATTACCTATTGAAACAGCACCAGACGGCATTAGTTGCTCAGTGATTGGACCAGCGGCCACGATACAGTAATTCCGCCCTTGAAGAGCCATCACCACGCCATTGCCGCTGATTGGGCGGGATCCGATGCGTCGCACGTGACTCTCCGCCCCCGGTGAAGCTCCAAGCGCCAACGAAAGCCGGCGCGCTTGCTGCAGTGGGGATTGTAGGCGCCAACCATCAGCATCAACCATCCTTGCATCTGCCGGTCTATTGGACGGCGAGGCCCTGAATATGCAGTCAAGCGCCCGGCCACCAGATGCATCGTGAGCTGGAGATGGAGATGGCGCGAGGGCAGTGGCGATGAGCGAAAGAAGGTTGTTTCCCGCTGACGAGAAACAGACGTGGGAAACGGGGCCAGAGCCAAGCGGGACATGGATGATGGGGTTCGTTGGACGTGCAGGACGACGGGCGGCTGTGATGGCGGTTTGATTTGATCTGCGTGCCAGGCGGATCGCGGGCCAAGATGCAGCTTTTCTTGGGCAGGGAAGACGATTTCTGCTTTTTTGGTTTGGCCGGCGCGTGTTTCTTGTTTCATGGAGATGGTAGTTCTATGATGGACTCCCCTCTCCCCGAAATTTGTTTTGTCTTCCCTTTCTTCCCCGGCAGATCCCTCTCTTTCGTTCTACCAACAACTCTATTTTTCCTTTTTTTTTTTCATCTTTTTCTTTTTGTTGTTCATCTCCTTTGTTGTTCTTTGCTCTCGTCTCCGGTTTTCGTTTCAGTTCGGTTTCCCTTTTTGTACGACGTGCCTGATTTGGAGCGAGAAACACACCTTCGTTATATTCCTTCTATTCTTTTCCCACTGTGTCGAGTCATGTTGAGATGCTGGTCGTCTCTTTCGTAATACCGGGTCTTTCTTTAGGTCAGTTCCACCGACTTTATGTGAAGTCGATACTATTCGCCACGATGCGTCGTCGAGTATACGGACATGGACAAGTTCAACAATGGGGGTGTGCTCCTATGTGTTACTACAAATCGATTACTATGGAAGACGCCACACATACATCTCGTCCTGATGCTAATTTCTGCTTGACTCCACTAGATGTTTTCTGATAGAATGTCTAGAAGGCTTCCTTCTTATATGCTACTCCTATTAATTACACTCATTTACACCGTGACAGCAGCGCCCCTGAATTCATCGGGAGACATTGACTCCTTCATCCCGAGCTGCGCGGCTCAGTGCTTCAACTCATTCCTTAACGTCAGCTATGCAGACCACCCAGCGAGAACATTGGCAGCGCTTTGCCCACGCATCGGAGCATATGGATTCACAATCGGAGAGGCGGCTGTCCAGTGTCTTGCTGTTGAGAGGGCGGCAGGGGCTTGTTCTAAGCAGGTGGCAAGCGGTAGGCTAGGAATCACTGAGAGGGAATGAGATTTCAAGGCTAACGGTTGAATAGACGCGGTGATTGACAAAGCCTTCTTCATGTGCTATGGCCAGCCTGGTGCCGTCCTGCCTACTCACTCTGTCATCACAGCTACCCTAGCTGTGCCGCTGTTTGGCACGGGACCAATTACGTTTCCGCCGGAGACGAAGACGAAGACGAGCCACGGGACTTCGATCCCTACGGCGATTGCAAGCCAGACGCTATCGTCCGTCTCTCTTCCAACGACTCTCGTTACAGATCCCACGTCATTCTCTAGCAGCTCTAGACCTTCCAGGACTGGATCCACGAGGGGACCTACTATTAAACCTACGACTAAATCATCGTCAACTTCGGTCAAGTCATCGACGTCGTCTCCTGCTGAGATTCTCACGACCGATCCTGTGGCCCCAACATTCACTGAGACTAGCACGCTCGCAACCGAGACCAGTACTACCACGGATGTTCCCGATGGAGTACTTGGTGGACAAGGAGAAAAGAAGGCGTCAGCGTCTCTCAGCACTGGACAAGTAGCCGGAATTGCAATTGGATGTATCGCCGGTGTAGGATTCATCGGGTTTGGCATTGCGGTTTTCTGCAGATGCCTCCGCAAGAGGAGGTCTCAATTCGGGAGAAAGATGAGAAAAGGAGGACGACCCCTGAGGGATTCGTGGAATTCTAGTGCAGAAAAGGGTCCTCGCGGTGGTGGAGGCACAGACTCTTGGATCGCGAACCAGCTTCGGGCGCCCCTCGATCCAGGCCCTATGCCCGGTCCGACAAAGTCGTGGTATAACAGAGCGAGCTGGAGGCCCAGTGCAATTGGGTTGGCAATATCGCCTGCCAACACAAGAGACGTGACTCGCGCAACGACACCGACTTCCGCCAGGCCTTTGTCCAAGCTACTTCCAGCCAAACCTGTTATGAATCAGGGACCGCCGAGATTAGAGGTATCACTGCCCAGTCGAGATGGAGATTCCCATTTCGGTGCTGCGGTAATAATGGGAGCGGCGGCGGCCGGTGCAGCATCAGGGGCGATAATGAGCGGAGCAGTCGCCGCGTCGTCATCACCAAAGCCTGCGGCTCAACCCAAGATGCAACCTATAACGAAGCCCGTGGCACGACCTGCAATGCGTCAACCAGTAATGCCCGAGCCATCCATTCGACCGCGAAATCTCACCCCTCCAGGCAAGCCTCAGTCGCCTTCGCCGTTGAAGCTCATCATCCCCAAGACAGGAAACTTTAGGCCGTTTGTCCCCGTCGTTACTAGACACGATAGCTCAACCACGGAGTTTGAAGAAGATGGCCGGTCGTCACTTTCACCAGGTGGCCAGATTTGGAGACCACCTTCGGCTGACCCGCACAAGGCGGCCCCTTACTATGTTGCGGATAGGAGTGGTAACTGGAGGCTTGGCGACCCGGCACGAGCTCAAGAGATTGCAGAGCTTGAGGCATCCATCAGCCCATTGACTGCCGCCCCCAAGTCTGCGGCGCCCAAGTTGGTCGCTGGTCTGGGACTGGCTACTGGTGCTGCTGGTGCTCTGGCACTTGTAAAAGCCGCAAGCCAGCGAAGGGATAACAGGGCAGGCGAGGCATCTAGAGCTGCTGAAGAAACCAGACAGGGTGCCCTAGGCATCACCATGCCACCCGAGCAGACCATCAGAGCCGTCGAGCCGTCGCTTTCTTCAGACGAGGAGATCCAGGAGCAGGACCTGCAGCCTTATGCCCCTCGGCCCCTTTTCTCCGGCAATGGCAATGGCAACAACTTACCCCGTCGTTCGTTAACTAATCGCCGGTCTTCGACGCGATCATTGACTCGTCCACGAATCACGTCTACTGATAGTGGCATAACGACTATTTCGACCTCTACGGATGACACTGATCTGAGATCCCCTCCCCCGTTGGAGCAGCCAAGTAATCTCTCGCCCGTGGTTGAGTCCCCGCGGTCTCTACGGCCAAGAAGGGGTCAGTCACCAACTCAATACCCCAAGATTCCAGCTAGCCTGGGTGCCGTGATGCCTTACCCAGGGAACTTGAACTCTGACGTGGCCGCTGCCAAAGGCGTAACCGTTGCCGCGGGATATGCTAAGCCTGCTGCCCCGGGTGATCGTCCTGCGCAGCCAAGCCCGAGCTTTGGGCGACCACTTGCCGCCGGCACCATGTCTTCGGATGGCAACATGCCAAAGAACCAAGGGAAGAAGTTTATGGGACCTCGCGCTATGGAATCTCCCGGCGCCATCAGAACCGGCTCCCCCATGATGCGGGGAGAAGGTTCGGCGTTTAAGCCGGACGAGAGATACTACCAGGGGGCGCGCAATCAAGCACCGCAGCAAGCTGGTCCAGCATCCCAGCCAGGCTCCTCCTCTTCACGGCCTTATCCCCCTCAGCAACAGCAGCAGCAGCAGCAACAATATCCTGCGCAAACTTACCAAAGGCCGCCGTCTAACAACAACAACTCCATCCCCTATCGCCTCCCTCCCCACCCAACCGCCTACAGGCCCAACATCGACTCTTCCGGCTACCCGTATCAAACTCGCCTCCCAGAGTACGGCCAGGGCCCTTCGACGTACAATCTTCCCCATCCTCCCCAACCAAATAGATACCCGCATCACCACCCCCGCAACCATCAGCCCCCCTTTGTCCAGCAGCAGCAGCAGCAGCAGCAGCCCGCCGCCCGGCCAGTTTCGCTGCACCTACAGCAGCTCCAGCAGATACAGCAAAGGCAGCAACAGCCAGCCCAGCGACCTCAACAACCGCAGCCTCAACCTCAACAACCGCAACAAAGGCGACAGCAGCCACAAAACCTCCAACCCCTCGCCCCATCATACTACCCAGACGCCCTCCCCCCGGCCGCGCCCCTCACCGGCAACTCCGTAGCGACAACCACGAGCGCCCACTCCGCCGACTCCCAGGCCTCGTCCCTCCTCGCCAAACGCCTCGGCACCTCCCGCGCCGCCAACATGGCCATCCCCGTGCCCCAGCCCGGCGGCGCCTCTTCCTCCGCCCAGAGCAAGTGGCTCCGCCAGGGCCAAGGCGCTGTCGCCGGGCTCTCCTCCCCGAGGATGCCGCCCCCGCCCCAGGAGCCCACCGAGTTGCCCGCAACGCCGGTGTGGAAGCCTCGGCTGACTCCTACCCGGCGCGGAGATGACTTGTTCTTGATTGCTCAGTGAGCAATGTTTTTGTATGATGTGAAGAGAAAGAGGGAGAGATTGTCCCCCCCCTGTTTGGATATAAAAAGGAGAGGGGCTCATGATGATGTTTTCTGTTTTCTCTATTTTCCTTTCTATGATCTGACAATTACCCCCCCGTGTTATGCTTCTTATGACATCTGATTAAAGAGTACACGTCTGTCTACTTTTAGCTAATATTTTCTTTCTACACATCGAGCATCATGTACATTAAAAATCACAGCGCAGGAGGACTAGACACGTGTCACCTACAGCGACGTACAATGTCGCGTAGCATTTTATTTTGTTTTAGTTTTTAGTGAAAGAGGGAGCAATGCGCAAATGTATATTACGAGCGGTCACCTTAGGTATTTCATGTTTCAAACGTCTTTGCCTCCTCACTTGTACTTTCCAACCAATCCCGTCGCTACCAACAACAACTTCAACGGTTCCTTCTATGGTCATCCAAGCCCTCATTCTCCTCTGCCACAGTCTGACTCATGACGCATTCTCTCTCGACGAAGCGCCTCAGGGATGGCCTTGACCCAGATGCCTGATTTCCCAAGTTGGTCATCTCAATGTCCTGTGCCGATTCGCTGGTCTCATCCGAAGGGCGCATACGCCTCGAGTTTCTCTTCTTTACGCTCCCCAGCCCGAAAAAATCTTCCACGTCACTCTGGATATCGCTGAGTTTGTCATCCAGAGCCTCCAGCCCCTGATTCCACGCTGCTTGATTCAGATGGGCATTTTCGTCGACCAGCTTATTCTTCTTGCGGATCTCTTGCCACCGCGATTTGCTTCCAAGTTCAAAGACATTCATTCTTCTTTGTTTGCCAATGGGGTTTCCAAGCATAGCAGGTCGCCATGCCTTTTCCTCCTCTACCACCGCCTGGTGATCATCAGGCATAGAGGCACGCCGTATGGTTGATCTCCGACGGGCTTCGATCAGCCGATCCATTTCCGCCATCTTGGAATTTGGTATGATTTGGACGTTTGTAAACCGAGCCAAGATTAACAGCAGCATGACGGTGAGTATGAACAGGATACCTGCCACGACTCCGGTAGCTACTTGCTGACCCAGTGTTCTGGTGACCAGACCGCCAAGGGCACTGGCACCCGCAGCGAAGACGAATGCCAGAGTATGAATAGCTGCAAAGCCAGCAGTTACTCTCGGGAAAGAAGAGTAGTTTGTTCGTTTCTCGGACTTGCCCGACTTGCTGCGTTGACGCCCTGTCATTCCGGGTGAAAGATCAGAAGTATCAAAACACTCCATCACCAGGCCATTGCATTCTGCAATAGCGAGGCATGACAAGAGTCCTATGCAAAATGCAAAAATTGTTGGCACACCAATATGCATTGGTGGTCCGGATGATACCGAGGCATAGCAGACTCCTGCCAACGGCAGTGTAATAGTGAAGATGGTACGCCGAACAAGATGAGATGACCACGCAATCTTTCTTTCCATCGTTGCCTTGTTTGTGTTGAGCTGTGCTTGACGGGATCTTGAAAAGAAGCTGGCCTTTTGAAAAGGAATAGCCATGATGGCTCCAAGAGCGACGCTTCCAACGAGCAAACCCACGTTGGGAGATCGAAGTTTGTAAAATTTGGATGCCAGCGATCCTAGTAGTACAATGGTCAAAACTACTTGTGCGTAGATCCATGCCGCGTAGACGGCGAGGATCAGGAAACCAGGCTGGCGAAGCATTTCTAATGTCAGGAGAATGCCGTGATAGACCTCCTGCCCCCACCACTTGGGGCCAGTCTTGACCCTGTGCATCATAACCTCGCCTCGGGCTACGCGGCGTGAGATATCACCACCAGTTCTCACTTCCGCTACCGATCGTCTGAAGGCAGATCGGCGGACCTCGGGACAGAGGACATTGAGAATCAGTACAACAGCGATCATGATGATGCTGATGTAAAATCCCCATGTTGGTGGGTACTTGTCAATGACACAGGCACCGACAAGGAAACCGATACCGAGAGACCCAATCCAACACCATGTCCAAATGCCCAACCAAACTCCCATGCCACCACCATGCCGCCTTGCGTCATAGTGATCAACAACTTCTCCATGAGGGTTTGTGCTCATGAGCGAAGCGCCGAATAAATCCATCAGTATAGAGTGGAAATTCATGCTGGCAAAACCAAGTGAGCCTCCCATAAGCGTTCGCGATGCGAGGAGCATGGCTCTCCATGTCCCTGTGTTGGCAAGTCTCTGGGTATTGACTGCGAGGGCCTGAGGGAACAGAAGAGGCATGGCAAGGACAAGGCTTGTCATGATGTATGGCTTCCGCCCGTGCAGCAAGGGAAGTGGCCACAGGAAGAAAGTTGGAATCGCCAAACCCAGGAAGCAACCGGTGTTGCCATGAACCGTAGCATGAGATTGGTCGATGATGTAGTACTGGATGGAAGGAACCAAACCTGCATAAATGCCCAAAATCATACCGATCAAGGCAGTGCTGATACAAGCCACCGTTGCGACGAATCGCTTGCGGACTGGTGACCAGTCTCTGGCAGTTGGTTGTCGTTTGCGTGACTTGGCCAAGCTGAACCCTTGTGCGCCCCGTAGACTTACATGAGATCGACGACGGAGACTGATGCCGCGGTCGGTGTGTGTTCGACGTCCAGCAACTTCGCGATTGGGAGTATCCTCGCCAGACTCGTGTGAAGCATGCCTTGCGTGGGAGCCCCTTGGTGCTGATTTGCTTTGACGTGGTTTGCTTTGCAAGGCGGGAACATCTTTTGTTCCTCTTGATAAGTCGTTGTATGGTTTCTTGCGATTCAACTTGGGCGTCCTATTTGAGACTTTGCGAGAGCCCGGCGTGGTATAGCTTGCCCCATTGATGCTGGCTCTTCTGCCCGGAACACTGAAGGATGCTTCAGCCGCAGTCTGGGGAGGCGTTTCATTCTGAATAGGAAATTCTCTAGCAGTCACATCATTACGCTCACTGGAGTAACTCTGAAGGATTTCATTCAGTCGTGGGCGCTCAGGGGCACCGGTATATGTATCCGCATGTTGGTATGGCGGCCTCTCCTGTTGGCCCTCGTTTTGGATGTCAACGCCATTGACTTTACCCGAACTCTCGTGGGTGCGGCGGCCTGATGTGTCATCATCCTGAGAGGCCCCGTCTTGACCACCAGGGACACTGTGGCAGCGAGCGTGCAAAGTGACGCACGGCTGGTGAATTTTGGGACATGAGGGAGTGTCGGGGCGCTGTACCACCTCAGAGGCCAGCGCAATAGCCTCGTTCATGAGTTTTTCAAGATCATTGACGGCACGCTGGAATAATAAAGGATCGATCTTGGGCTCAGATCTCCCAGATTGCGACGATAAGCCCGTCATACGCCGGGATGGGAGGACGCTTGATAACGCTGCCTCTGACTGCCGCCGTTGCGATGCCGAAGAAGGCCTTCTGATCTTGCTCCTTGGGGGTAACTCTGTAAACTTGGAGGTATAAGTCTCTGGATACTTGAGAATCTCGCGTAGCCACTGGGCAGTACGCTTATAATCCAACGTCGAGCTAAGAGAGTGCGTTCGCGCGGATGAGTTTTCGGATGCCTGTCTCTGTAAATTCCCTTCCTAAGAGTGAAGAGATTGACCGGATTCCATCTGGAAATATGACTTGTCCTTAGCAGCGGTAGAACCAGCGGCTTCTCGGACGGGCCTAACCTTGAATGTCGAAGAATGGCTTTCGTGTCCGCTTGATGAGGGCTCATTTGTGAAGATGGGACGAATCTTGGAAATGGGGATAGGAGAGTGGATGAGACGATGCTGAGGATCAGCAACTTGCTTGTTCTCGTCTGGGATTTCGCCTCGGATGACTTGCTGTTCAGCCTCGTCCTGAAATTGTGGCCCTGTAACGCTATACGACGGCATTGTTTCAAACTCTCCCACAGTTCTTTTCGGCAGGATCCTCTCTGGTTTGGCGTTATTGTGAAACGAGCCATCTTCTGTGAATCCACGTCGCCCAGATTCACCGTTTATGGGAGAGAATTGATTTGTCTCAACAAAATGGTAGGCCATGGCTCCATCATCTACCGTTCCGGAATATGGCCCGACCTTTGGTATGGGACCGTGACGATGATGGCCATCCTCTTGAGGAGGAATTTCAGGCTCGAAAGCATGGAGCTTTGGAGTTGGAAACGGCAGCCCCTGACCATCTCCCCTTTCAACCTCACCATGACGCAATTCACTTCTCGAGATAACAGCATTTATGCCGTCAATGTCACTCGGCACAGTCTCAGCGTTGTCGGCCAGAGGGTCAAATGGCTGGGCCTTGTTGGCAGAGCGACTATAGTCTAAGCCACGCTGGTTTCCCAAGAGCACAGGGTGGTATGTAGGATAGTATGAGAAAGCAGGGCGAACCTTGACGGCTAGGCTGTGACCCTTGTGCCGATGAACTGGCACTGTCACTTCGGTGACTGATAGATCCCCACTGGACAGCACGCGATGCATCTCACCGCTCATCATGGATTCATTGGATACTGGGGACGATGGTTGCGTTGACGAGACAAAGCTCTGAGATCCCGGTGATCGGGCCCCGTTGTCGCAGGAACCGGCGCCATCCAGCAGTCCAGGGTGGTGTACTTGAGCATGTGTATCGCCTCTGTGCAGAGGGGTGTTGGCACACTCTCGGTCGACGAGCCCTATTGAGGACGAGTAGGCCATTTCTTCTGAAAGATGGACAGGGGAGATTTGCCGGGCAAGAGCGGATGCGTTTCTGACAGCGGAGGAGTCTCGATTCTCAAGCTCTGACTTGGATGATTGAGAGGGTGTTTTGAGTGGGGGAGATCTGCTGACGACTGGCGGTGCGGGCGAGTCTCTGTGTACAAGGGCAGGGCCGGCGGTCGAGGTCTTTGGCAAATGGTGTCTGAATGCAACAGCCCTGCTGGTGGAGAAACCGGTGCCTTCGGTTGCCGTGTCGTCTTGGTCGGGCCCGAGAGTGGTGAGAGAGGGGCGGCAGCTTGGTGCCGGTGTCTGATCGAAGTCGCCAGCGTCCATGTCAGTTTGATGATGGAGACGGGGCTGCTAGGCCTGGGCGCTGTGGGATAACGTCAAAAGCATTGCCACCTGGCCGGTTCTACCCCGTGCTCGCAGGACACACACAGGTTGGCCAAGAGGCGTGTCTCGAGTATGCAGGAGTGTCGAGTGAAAAGGGGCTTTGGCAGGGGGTTGCTCCAAGGTCGGGTCGATTTCCGACCGACTTCAAACTGTTGGTCAAAGTCGCTAACTGTAAGTAAGCGGTAAAAGGGTTGACTAGAACAAGTGCCGGAGGAAGAGGCCCCTGGTGGCCTCTCGGCATAAGAGGGCAGGGAAAGCTGTTGAAACCATGCAGTCTCGGATGAGTGTGCGAGTGGCATAACATGAATTCTTGCGTTTTAAAAAAAGATACAGCTCCAGATACAAGATAGAACAGGGAGGAGGAGATAGGGATGTCGTGGCGAGGAGAGGATATTGATGAGGTCGGTGATGGATGGAATATGGAATATGGTGGTGAGGCTGAGTTTCTCGCCGCCTGTCAAAAGCAGCTTTTGTTGTTGTTGTTGTTGCCGTCGATGCCAGCTTGGCGAGGGCCGGCGAGTGTTGGGACGCGCCTTCCCCAGAATCCCTGGATCGTAACTACAACTGCAAGTACCTTGACATGTACCTCCTATAAGTGCGTGTACGAGTGCGAATGCATTCTCCAGCTCTGCGTGTCTCCCTCTACCAAGGTTAGTATTGCCAAGACAAAAGGTACCTATACCTACACTATCTCTGTCCTCCTCCTTATCTTTTTCTTCTTTCGGCCCAGATGAAGGAGTCGGAACCCGGAATTCAACTGTCCATACTATTAGGCAGTCAGCTGCTAGCTGATTCAGGCATACACACGGGAGAGGACGGTAGGGGACAAAAGGGGCCGCTCATAATCGAGGCGGCAGAGGCAGAGTAGCAGTGATGCGGGTCTTCATTAGAGGGCGCATCAATACTGCGAGATGCTTGGAGAAAGTCGCCTCACTAGGAGCACATGAATCATAATATGCCCGCTTTGGGTAAACAGACTGTAAGCATACCGAGTATCCGTACGAATTAGAGTTGACATGGATAGAGGCAAAATAGACGTGGCAAATACAGCTTAGAAACCCCCCAACGACTCAAGTGTCAGTCCCCAATTTACGGTAACCGCTCAACTTGGTTGGACTTGGTTGCCCCTAAAGGTGGTGGCATTATCGCTGGAGGAAGCCGGGCAAAGCACCAGACACACAGAGCTGGTTGATTCCAAACAACCAAAGCACTTTGCTACTCTGTCCACTAGACCTCTGTTGCATTTAGGCTACGTGGTTTTTTTTTTTTTTTTTTTTTTTTTTTGATGTGTCGTTGAAATTGCAACCCGGTACGTGTTTCTCTCAGGGGCAACTCATTCATCACGTCGCTTATTGGTCGAGCACGCCGGAAAGATGAGGTCGGTTTCCTCAAAGTCCCCATTGAGAACTTTTACAAGACAAACACAGTGAAGCTTGGCTACAGAGCTCATCTGCCGGTTCAATATGTGTGCACGCCCCTGCAAACCCAACCACTCGGTATTACCGGCCAGACTGTTGAAACTGACCGAAGCCCATTCACTCACCTCTGTCCCTATGTACAAAGTCATCCCTCGGTATGGTCCCTGGATGCTGTAACGTTCAACTCCTTCTGACACCAATCTCCTTTACATTACCTGGCAGCACCTAATACCTTACCCATCTACGCTAGTTGTTCAACCTTCCTTTCGGCCCCTACCCGTGTTATTGCATTGCCCTGTCGGCCTTCGCTCATATCCGGTCGTTTTATTCCAAGCACGAGTTCCCAACAGTTGCATCTACGCCCTGCTTCTAGCAGGAGCCAACTCTGCAAAATCCAGACCGCGCCGTGTATGTGTGTCACGGCTGCTGCGCACACGCCCGTACAAGTTGGACATGTACCTATACCTGCCTACCCGTACTCTGCACTCGGTATATTGACATCTAAATGCAATCAGGTAGCACCACCAGTCATCCATCAGCCTTATCCTTATTAACGGGTTGACACATACTGCAAGGCCGTGCAGCTTTGTGTAGCGAGCGCCTCACGCAACGCTGCACACTTGAGCTGAAATCCCCAGCGAAACAAAGACACGCCCCTCCCTCCACGCTTTCGCCCTCCGCATCCTTCCCCTCGTATTGTCTACTACGATACGACAAGATCGGTGCTACATACACCATCACAGCCAAGGACTTTGCTCTCCTCCACGCCCTCTGAGGCATCATCTCATCGTGTTGTCTTTTTTTAGCCATGCCGGTCTTACGTGAAGGGGAAGAAAAAACGAGAGCGTGGCTTTTGGGGGTTGCTCGGTGAAATAAGGGACTGGAGGAAGAAAGTGGAAAAACTGGTCGCCGGGCATCGCACAAAACGCCCTAATGCCGATCGTTTCTGACCTCCAGCAGCAGTTCGCCAGGCACCAGAGCCCTCTCGACCAGGTCCATCCGAATCGAGACACTTGTGCCGACTTCCCCCTCCCTCTCAGCCTGCAGCCCGCGATCCTCCCGGGGCAGCGCTGCCGAATGCTGCCGCCTCGGTACGTCCCCGTACTTGGAAGCTGCGTGTACAGAATGCATCCCGGGGCGAGCAAAAAAAAAAAAAAAAAAAAAAAAAGAGAGAGGCAAGAGTCGAGAATGTTCCTTTCGAGGCGTGACTAACCGCCGCAATGACTCCCAACAGTCCTACGCCCTGCTTGTGTGCGGAATACCGCAGTTTCTGCCTAGGCCAGCAGGCTCCAAAGGCCAAGTCCTGTCACGAATGACTGCGAGATGAACCGGTGAATACCAGCCTATTAGCTAAGCCCCTCGGCCAAGGGTAGGACCTCGGATACGTATTCCGCGAACTGAACGGCTTGAGACATGCATACCTACCTAGGTACTAAGGTATCGTGATGCGCGAGAGTCCTAAGGAATCAAGGTGCTCGGAAAGCAAGGGCCGCCAGATAAGCAGGCGAGTGACTTGGCCGCATGAGCCGCTGCCTGTCCTCCGCAGGCTGGCAAACACCACGCGACCGCTTGGAAGTTGCCGCGCTGTGGGCATTTGCCCTCCGCGAAGAGCCTCACACGACAGGCAGCCTTACCAGGGGCAGCCGTTCGTCGGTGGTACTCTGTACAAGGTTTGTCGCGCAGAGTTGCCTTGGATACCACCAAAGGTGCCCAACCCCGGGTATCTGCTGCCTACCAGGCCAGGTAAGTGCATGGATGTTTGTTTCTACGGAGTAAGAGAAGAGCCAAACCCCAGCCAACGGGGAAAAAGACCCCCAGCATTTCTGCAAGGTTCCCCGTCCCCGGTTCCCAAGCCAAGGCACTCCGGTCATCAGCCCAGTCAGTGGGTTACCCGTTTCGGCTCAGCCCACCAAAGCAAGTTCAAGCTTGAGTTAGCCGCAAGCCAAGTCTTGTCTTCCATGTCACCAAGAGCACAAGTCTAACGACCGCGTTTCAAACTACGAGTACCTACCAGATAAAATTAGGACCAGGCTAAAACAACGCTGCCCTGCTTGGGCAAAACAGGCGCGCCCGCGCATACGGCGCATCTTGTCATCATCATCTCGCCCCCCCTTCGATCGCCCGCGCCAAGGCGCCTAGCAACAGACGCGCCTGTCAAGTCCGCCCTGGCCCTGCGTACAAAGTTGCTTTTCGTGCGACTGGGAGGGACAAAAAAGGGCCGGCCAACGTTGCAACCTCCATGTCTGCCATCTCATGTACAAGCATCATCCCATCATGCATCTCCCATGTGTGTCTTGCCCCCCCCAACCAGAGCCAAATCTCACACCTACCCTCCCTATCCCAGCTCCCCGGAACCAATCAAGCAATTCGTAGCGCACCGCACAAATGAGGCGGCCCCCTCCCCTTTCGATCCTGTGTCGAGCAAAGTACCTTACACATAAGACGAGAGGTAACAATTTCCTCTTTGGGCCCTGCGCTCATCTCTGAATCGCATCCATCTCGCCCGACTTGGGTAGCATGAGAATGAGCATCACCCGCAGCGCGGAAATTTAAAAAAAAAACGATTTGATTGAATATTAGACGCGAGAAGCAGGCCCGACTGTCGCAAGGTCAGGTCAGATGAAGAGATTTCTAAATAAAGCAACTTGTTCCAATTTTCACACGAATAAGCTCTTTTCGAACCCACCCCTTTTCTGCTTAGCATGCCACGTTTTTCTTCTTTGCCTTGCGTTTCTTTCTTCTTTTCCTTCGATCCCGTCAAGCGCGCAGCCGCCCCTTGCCCTCTTTTTTTTTTCCTTCTTTCCCTTCTCTGCTTTAAACCCCCCCCCCCGGCCAACCACGCGCCACGCCTCGCCCGATTAGGCAAAACCCCTCGCCGAGTTCGGTTCGGCAGCGAAAGCCACCAGAAATGTTTCTCTAATTATAGCTCACCCAGCTCCAGCCTCAGCTTTTCCCCGTTTTTGGTCTCTTTGTTTTGTCGTTTTTTGTCCTTTTTCAACGCAAAAACCACTCTCTCTCACACAAACGAGGAAACAAGGTTATTAGGTACCTATCGATCCAAGCATACTGCGCCCCCATCGAAACGCTCGGCCCAGTGCTGACTTTCATCTACCCATCCCGAAAAACCTACTGTCAAGGATTAATTCAAACACCCCTTCCAAATAAAATCATTGATGGTAATATACCGTAATGCGTATGAGTAGTAGTTCTAGTTTTGCGCAAGGTAGTTCGTTTTTATTCCGTCCTCTTTCCGCTTGCCGCAATGGCGGATTATATCCCACGCTTTCTCTCTTAGCGGCGAACGGGCGTACAATAGCGGCGGCCCCCCTCCATCTCGCTTAAACGCAAAAGGTTGGCTGAAATTTGAACAAACGGCCGGGCAACTTTTTCTTTTTTTTTTTGCTCTCATCTTACACTCCCCCAAGAAGGGAACAAAAGGGAAGGGAAAAGAAAATGAACCCACACATAGTAATACTGTAGTTCCCACTCACCCCCTCCCCTCTAACGGGAAAACTCGACTGA